TGGCCGCTCGCTTCCAGCCGGTTTGGAGAGCACCCGAGGCTGGCGATGGCGGCCTGGGGCGGGGTGACGCCCCCGGGGCTGTGGGACAGGGAGACGTGCCGGGCAGGCCTCTGTTGGGGAGCAGTTCTGGTCCACCCCCCGGCCCCCCTTTTATTTGCCCAGCGTCCTGTGTACTCAATCGCTGGTCAGGACAAAGTCTGAGCCGCCCACGTGGCCAGAGCCGAACAGGAGAGGAGGTCGGAGAGGGAAGAGGCTGATGGCGCCGAGCTTTGTGGACGATTCGAAGGACCAGGCTTTTCTGGGTGATGGGGCCCCGCCCGGGCTTCTGCGCAGGCTGTGGCCACGCGGGGGATGGCAGTCTGCAGGAGGGCGGAGGTGTGGGCAGGGGGGTGGCCAGGGGCACGTCACAAGAATCCAGGTGAGGTGCCTGGCTGGCGTGGCTCAGTGGTGGAGCATTGACCTGTGAACCAGGAGGTCACGGTTCGATTCCCCGTCAGGGCAAGTGCCTGGATTGCAGGCTCAATGCTCAGCGTGCAGGAGGCAGCCGGTCCATGATTCTCTCTCATCATTGATGTTTCTCTCTCTCTGTCTCTCTGTCTCTCTCTCCCCCTCTCTGAATGAATTAATATATATATATATATATATATATATATATATATAGAAAATATTTCCGAGTTTATACCTCAGCACAGGTAACCAAGCTTTCTGGTGATACAACTATCCCTGCACATTTTGACCCTCAGGGTTGAAGCTGCCTGCTCCCACTGGGCCACGCTAATGCTGAGCTTCTGTGCAGCAGGCATGTGAATACGTGAGTGTATGTGTGTAGGCGTGTACATGGCTCCAAGCCTTCCTCCTGAATATGGCTTGTTTGTAGACTCGTCATCCCCCCCTTTTGTTTGATCCTTTCTCTCCCCGTGGGAGTCCCCCATTCGTGCCAGCTCTGAACCCCCCGGCTCTGCCCCGGAGCAGGTGCAAAGCCTGTTTTAGTGGAGGATGGCCCCGGAACCGCACCTGCTAAGGGGGCGCCTCCCCCATACCTGTGTCAGGCCCCGGCCCTCCCTAAGACCTCGACGCTGTCCTCGGAGCTGTGGGAGGAAGCCAGCGACCTGGGGGGTAGAAAGATACCAGTCACCCCCATCTCGTTCCAATAATCAGACAGAAAACAGCAGCGTGTCTGGCCAGGTAGGAAGGTAACTGCGTTGGTGTTACTCAGTTTCCTGGCAGCTGCTGCCCCCCTGTGGACAGTCGCAGTTACTGACTCCAAACCCGGGCCTCTGGCCAGGCTGGTCTAGCCCAGGCTGTCTGCCAGTCCCTCCAGGACCCTGTGCTTTCGGACTCAAAGGCTCGGCTTCGCTGTCAAACACGCCTCCTTCCTACGGCCCTGTGCACGGAAGGGGCCACGTGCTGACTGACAGCCCAGGGGAGGCCTGCGTGGCGGGCTTGCAAACTCAGACCTAAAGCCACCACGAAGGACTGAAATTAAACTGTAACTAAAGGCTGTGATGGTGGGCAGTCACCTCCTGGGCCTTATCTTCACTGACGAGGTCCTCTCCCTTAACCGAGCCTGTCTGTCTTTGCATCTGTGATAACACACCCTTGAGATGTCTGGGTAGCTTGTAACTTCCCTTTTTCAAATGTGGGCCCAGGACAGAGACCACAAATCCCCTCATTTCCATGTGAATTGTTCCTGCACCCACCTAGGTTTGTGTCCATCATTTTAATTTTTATCCAATCTCAGGTGTTTCCCACCGCTTTGCTTTATCCCACCTCCTTAATCCAGCACCAATGGATTTCATGTAACCCACCTATGTCCCCCTCCTTTGATGGCAATGTATAAACACAGATGTAACCCGCCATTCTCCGAAACATGATCTCAATTCCTTGAGGTTCTGCTTCCCGGCATCTGTTGACAGTTTGGCTCCAGTAAACTCACAGAAATTGTTTACAGGTCTCAGCGGTTTTTAGGTTTTTATGCTCACAGGCCTCTGTTCAGGCAGCGCGGGGGCCACCGTTCCCCCCCCCCCCCCCCCCCCCCCCGGCCTGCCCCAGGCTTGCTTTTCCTGTCAGTTTGAGGCAGAGAGACTCCGTGATGGCCCCGGGCGGGATCCACGCCTCGAGTGGCCCTCCCCCTGAGCGAGGTGACGAGCTGGGTGCTGCCTGGAGCGTCTGGGAGGCCCGAGGGGGGTGTGCTCATGGCCTTCGGCCCATCGGGAGCCCTGACTAGCCCAGGCCAGCCCGGCCTCGCAGGAGGAGGCACCGGCTCTGGGCTCCAGGCAGTCTCACCCGGCCAGACTCGCCGGCCCACGGCCCCCTCCCGCGCCCGTTTCCCGGCTCCTGGTCTGCCCAGGCGGGTCAGGCTCAGCTCGAAGGCGAAGTCGGGCTCGCCGGGTCTGGTCCGAGGCCTCAGCAGGGGCTCAGCTCCGCCTGTGCCAGCACGTCCCCTGCAGCCGGGCCCGTGGGAAAGGACTCTGGCCCCCTCACCCGGGGGCGCTGCGGGGCCCCCGGATCCGTTTCCCTGGGCGGGAGGGGTGTGCGTGCGCGGGGTGAAGGGTGGCACCCGTGTCCCCCGCTCCCTGGGCTCCTCGGGTGCTGCCCGCACTTTGTGAAACGAGGGGTGTTTGTCGCCCCCTTTTCTGTCTGCAAGGGGCTCTCCGCCCGTCCGCCGGGCAGCACCCTGCTTTCCTCTCTGAAGACTCCCTCCTGCAGGCGGCAAGGTGTCCTCTGGCCTCCGCAGCCTCTTCTTGTTCTTGTTGATCTCCGAGAGGAAGGGAGAGGGAGAGAGAAACATCAGTGATGAGAGAGAATCACAGATCCACTGCCTCCTGCGCACCCCCACTGGGGACGGAGCCCGCAGCCCGGGCCTGTGCCCTGGCCCAGAATCCGGCTGTGACCTCCTGCTTCATACGTGGACACTCAGCCCCTGTACCACGCCGGCCGGGGCACAGTGACTCATTCGTAAGAGTCGCAGAAAGGTCCGGAAACGCCATGCTGAGGACTAAGGTGGAGGCTGATGTGGGATGCCGGGGGCCCACTCTCAGGGTCAGCCTGGCTTCCTCTGGCCAGCCGGCCGGGGGCTGGGAGGGAAGGGCCGGCGGGGAGCGGAGGCGGTGATAGGGGACCAGAGCCGGCCTGGTGGGGAGTGATCAGCTGGAAACAGGGGGTGGGGGGGGGGAGGGCGGGGTTTGGGTGGCGCTCAGTTCCTGCCCGGGGTGAGAGGCTGCGATAACCAGTGAGAGCTGTTAGCCCTTGGCTTTCTCTCTCCTCCACTGTGGCTCACGCAGCGTCCCCTCGGGCTGTGCCGGGACAGGCCCGCTCTAGCCGCAGGCGCCGTGCCCTGGGGGCAGCTCTCCTCTCCCTCTGGGAGCCCCAAACCAGCCTCCGCTCCCCCTGGGGGGCCAGGGGCTCTGGTTCTCAGGAGGGAGATGGATGCGGTGGTGTGCTCCCCTCTCCGAACCGCCCCTTCGATGGCTCTAGAGAGCTCCCCGTCTGTCCACGTGTGTGTGTGTGTGTGAGTGTGTGTGTGTGTGAGTGTGTGTGTGAGTGAGTGTGTGTGTGTGAGTGTGTGTGTGTGAGTGTGTGTGTGAGTGTGTGAGTGTGTGAGTGTGTGTGTGTGAATGTGTGTGAGTGTGTGTGTGAGTGTGTGTGTGAGTGTGTGTGAGTGTGTGTGTTAGTGTGTGTGTGAGTGTGTGTGTGTGTGAGTGTGTGTGTGTGAGTGTGAGTGTGTGTGTGAGTGTGTGTGTGTGTGAGTGTGTGTGTGAGTGTGTGTGAGTGTGTGTGCGGGAGTGTGTGTGTGTGTGTGTGAGTTTGTGAGTGTGTGAGTGTGTGTGTGTGTGAGTGTGTGTGTGAATGTGTGAGTGTGTGTGGGTGAGTGTGTGTGTGTGTGTGTGTGTGAATGTGTGAGTGTGTGTGTGTGTGAGTGTGTGTGCGGGAGTGTGTGTGTGTGTGTGAGTTTGTGTGTGTGTGAGTGTGTGTGTGTGTGAGTGTGTGTGAGTGTGTGTGTGAGTGTGTGTGTGAATGTGTGAGTGTGTGTGTGTGAGTGTGTGTGTGTGTGAGTGTGAGTGTGTGTGTGAATGTGTGAGTGTGTGTGTGTGTGAGTGTGTGTGCGGGAGTGTGTGTGTGTGTGTGTGAGAATGTGTGTGAGTGTGTGTGTGTGTGAGTGTGTGTGTGAGTGTGTGTGTGAGTGTGTGTGAGTGTGTGTGTGTGTGAGTGTGTGTGAGTGTGTGTGTGTGTGAGTGTGTGTGAGTGTGTGTGTGAGTGTGTGTGTGTGAGTGTGTGTGTGTGCGGGAGTGTGTGTGTGTGTGTGTGTGAGTTTGTGTGTGTGTGAGTGTGTGTGAGTCACAGCGTGAGGCCAGCATCTCACCGTGTCACACTCATCTTTCCCGCCCAGCCCCATCTTTATCCTCCAAAGAATCTTGTGAAAAACAAGATTCAAGGCTTAAAAAGAAACCAAACTCCCCGACTTCAGGGTCCATCATCCAAAACAAAGTCACTCTTGTGCTCTACTTCGTTCACACGTTCAAGTTCAGGTCCGCACTCCGACTCTGTCCCTGTCCTTTCCCGGCTGCCAGGGCTGCTGGTCCGGGGGACAGACTGTCTGACAGGCTGCAGGGCCCCTGGGGTGCGTTCGCATTTCAGAAAAACAACGAGCCCCTTTGAAAAATACACTTCGCAGCCAGAATTGCGTAAGACCACACTGTCGCTAGAGGAGGATTGGCTCTCTAGAATTTGAATTTAATCAAATATAATGAAGCAAATAAGTTCTATCCAGAAGGAGATAGAATCAGAAGCGTGTGTCCTGGTGGCAAGTAGGTTCTCTAGGTTGCCTTCCCATCCGATAGCCTATTTTCAAATGCTTTTGCAGCTAAAGACAAGAACCTAATTCTCGCAGAAAGACAATGGCCAGTTGGCAGAAAAGAAGTTCCTCGGTGTAAAGCAGAATGCGTAGCTCTCAGACCTGAGCCCAAAGGGGCGCCGCTGTCTTGCAGCGGGAGCTCAGCAGCGGGGGCCCAGCAGCTGGGCGGGTCGGGGAGCAGTTCCCTGTCCGACTGGGAGCCACTGGCCCCACCCACAGGCTGCAACTCGATCCCAGTTGTAGCCGAGCCGGAAGCCGGCCGCTCTGTCCCAAGGTAAGGGCGCCTTTCCCTCCCCGTCCGGCTCCCCGCAAAGGTGTGTAAATGTTTGTTGAACTTGAACTCAGTCGGGGACAGCCCAGCGGGCGGGCGGGGCCGCGGGGGACCCGGGAGGGCGCTTCGGGGAGCAAACCGCCTCGGGGAGGGAGCCAGCCTGGAGGTCCGAGCCCCCCCCCCCCCCCCCCCCCCCCCCCCCGTCCGGACCACGGACGCCGAGCGGGTCGATCCCGGTCCCCGGTCCCCGGTCCCCCAGGGACTCTGCCCCTCGAGCTCGGTCCCAGGAAAGGCTGAGGGAGCCGAGGGGAGCCTGCCCAGCAGGGACTCTCCCCACGTGGTGTGGTTTCACCTTTTAAACCACGGGGACGCTCCCATGCTCAGTGAGGACACCCTCCCCGGGTGCCTGGTGAAGGTGACCGGGCCTCACCTGTGTGGGCGGGTGTCTGTCAGGTAGGGATTCCAGCTCCTCCCCCCCCCGCCTCCCCCCGTGTGGCTGTGACCTCTGCCCTTATTTTATTTTATTTTATTTTATTTTTTGCACCGGCCACGCTGCCCCGGGGCAGTGGGGGTGTTTCCGTCGGTAAGCGAGCTCTCGGGAGTGTGTCTTTCCTAAGCTAACATTCCCCATTCAGAGTTTTCTCTTCCTGGGAATTAAAAGGTGGAGGGAGGGAGCTGCCTGGTGGGCAGGGCGGGACCAGACCGGGCCTGCTGGTGTGTTGGCATCGGGAGCCGGCTGGTCGGGACTTTCTGGACGGTTTTGTGAGAAGGGATGAGGCCAGGCGGGCGGGCACCGGCGCGTCCCCCGGGGCTGCTGGCTGCGGGCCAGGCGGTCGCAGGGCAGGGCGCCTCCGGGGACCTGCCCACAGGCCCGCGCTCTCCGCTGCGGGAGGACAGCGGGTGGGGTTTTCCTCAGCGGAAAGGGGGTGGGTGTCGCTCTGAGAGGAGAGAGGTCCCGCCGGCTTGGGGTTGGGTGAGATTTCAGTCCCTCTCGTTGTGAATCCTCCCCAAGGGAGTCTCTTCATCGGTTTCTAGGGAGAGCGAGAGGGAGAGGGAGAGGCCGAGAGGAGCAGGGATGTGAGAGAGACACATCGATGGGTGGCCTCCTGCATGCGTCCTGACCAGGGCCCGGGCCAGGGACGAGCCGGAACCGAGGGATGTGCCCTTGATCGGATTCGAACCCGGGGCCCTCTGGTCGCCGTAAGGAACGTCCAAACCTGTGAAGGATTCGTGTGAGTGTACCTGAGCCAAACTGACCTTGCCGGGAAGCCAGAACCTGCGGGGCTGGGAGTGCTCCGGAGAAGGGCAGTTCACCTTGTCTCAGACGTTACAGCCCGAGGAGGGGACTTAGGTGGGTCAGGCCCGTGGTCGGCAAACTGCGGCTCGCGAGCCACAGGCGGCTCTCTGGCCCCTTGCGTGTGGCTCTTCCACAAAATACCGCGGCCTGGGCCAGTCTATTTGAAAAATGTGGCTCTCCAAAGGAATGTCACTCGTCGTGCTGTTGATATTTGGCTCTGTGGACTGATGAGCGTGCCGACCACGGCTCTAACCAAACAGAACCACCAGGCTAGCAGAGCGGGACTCAGAGTTCTGATGGCCGGAGCCGGTCCCCGACATCCTCTCTGCCTGAACGGAAAGACAGGGAGGAGGAGTCAGGGCAGGTCTCGCCCTAAAAGCCTGCAGCTTGCCGCCCGCTCCCTCCTCCGCCCTGAAGGGGGGACCCTGGCTGTGAGGGCGCCTCTCACTTGCCGCTCACTCTCCACACCCCTCGGCTTAGCACATGCTTCCACGTGTGATCCTGGCACAGGCTGGCCAGTGCAGTGAATGTGTTTGTATGAAGGAAGCGCGTTCCTGCGATCGTCGCCTGAAGCATCACTGGCCTCGGACATGAACACAGGGCCTCCCGCTGACCCAGAGCCAGGGACTCCCTCTTGTTTCTTCCCTCGCTGACATTGTCATATTTTCTTTCTTTTTACTTAAAAAAAAATTGATATCAGAGAGGAAGGAAAAAGGGAGAGAGAGAGAAACATTAATGATGAGAGAGGATCATGGATCAGCTGCCTCCTGCACGCCCCCTACTGGGGATCGAGCCCACAACCTGGGCCCGTGCCCTTGACAGGAATCCAACCTGGGACCCTTCCACGGGCCTATTTTCCTAGTGACCGGCAGGCAGGCGCCTCTGAGTCACTTCCCTCCCGTCTTCTGCTTTTCCCTCTCTCGGTCTCCAGCCTGTGTCCCGTGCCCTCCGGAGATCATCCTGGGGGGCGGGAGGCGGCCCTGCCTGTCTGGCCGCGGCCTGGGCTCTGCAAATGAGGAAACCGGGCGGGGGGGGGTCCCCTGACGGACGGGTGGTGCTCAGCTCCTTCGTGCACAGCAGAGCGCACAGGGCCAGCCTGGGGCCACCCTCACAGAAGCCAGCGCCCAGGGACTGTCTGCGAGACGGGACGCACCTCTCCCATGGGGTCATTCTCTAGGCCCGTGGTCGGCACACTCATCCGTCCACAGAGCCAAATACCAACAGGACAACGAGGGACATTTCTTGGAGAGCCACATTTTTTAAACGTGAACTTCTGCTAACGCCACTTCTTCAACACAGACTCGCCCAGGCCGTGGTATTTTGTGGAAGAGCCACCCTCAAGGGGCCAGAGAGCCGCCTGTGGCTCGAGAGCCGCCGTTTGCCAACCCCGGGCCTGGGCGTGTGCCCGTTCCTGCCTTTAGTTCTGTGGGGCCGGGCCGAGGCCGCCTGGGGAGAACCATGACTCGGATCTTCTCAGGTAAATGTCACCCGGTCCTGAGGCAGGCTGTCCGGCAGCGGGACCAGAACCGTGTGGAGCTGACGTGGCTTCCTGTCTTCGGAATTGTGCTTCTCCTCCGAGCCCCCGGGGAAATCCGTGCTTACTGATGTTCTCAGAGGTGGAAGGCTCGCTGTGCCTCCAGCTCATCCTGAGGGGGGCCCCCCGGCATGGCTGTGAGCCAGGAGGGGGTACACAGGGCGTGGGACCGGCGCTGACCGGTGTGGGGCGCGGGGCTGGGCCACGTGTGCGGCCCTCGGTTCTGGGGCCGGGCAGGGCTCCTGCGTGTCGGCTCTGCTCTAGGGTGGGGGTTGGTTTGAAATTTGCATGGCTTTTCCTTCATGACGAGGAAAGGCTAATTTATGCTAATGATTCTGAGAGTGCTTTTATTTTGTCTGTAACGGATCGAAGATGGAGGAAACGCCATTAAAAATATATATTTTTATTGACTTCAGAGAGGAAGGGAGAGGGAGAGAGGGATAGAAACATCAATGCTGAGAGAGAATCATGGATCGGCTGCCTCCTGCACGCCCCCCACTGGGGATGGAGCCCGCGACCTGGGGCTGTGCCCCGACGGGGAATCGAACCCTGCCCTCCTGGTTCCTGGATCGATGCTCCACCCTGAGCCACGCAGGCCGGGCGGAAACTCCACTTTTACGGAGAATGAGCTGTTCTGAGGGCTCTTCCCGTCCGCAGCTGCCCACGCGCTGCCTTGCTCGCCACCAGGTGACCTGCCCCAGCCCGCCCGCCCAGCCTGGGCTGGTTTTCGGGTTTGGGTCAGACGTGCCCAGGCAGGTGGGACGGCGGAGGGCGGGGCTGACAGGAAGCAGCCGGGGCCTGTGGTGCCGATGGCCTGGCCGGAGGCGCCTAACCCGGGTGCCAGGAGAGAGAAACACCCGCTGACAATGGCGCTTCCCAATTCCAGGCCTCGGGGCTGCAGGGAACAGACGGACGGCCTCCTGTACTGGGGGGTCTGTGGCCCTCCCTTTCCCAGATGGCACATTATTGTCGTCCCCCCCCGCCCCGGCCCTCCCTCCCGGGCCATCTGGGGCAGCGAGGGGTCCATGAGTGGCCAGTGCGGTCAGGGGCGGCCTTTACGTCCGGGGCATCTTGTGCGTGCACTAAGCTTTCCAGGGCGACGCGGAGTAAAGCCTCTGGTGGTTTTTCTTTTAGTTAAACTTTTATTTTTAAATCCACTGACGAGGGTTTATTTCATTTTATTTTTTATTGGTTTCAGAGAGGAAGGGAGAGGGAGAGAGATAGAAACATCCGTGATGAGAGAGATCATGGATCGGCTGCCTCCTGCAAGCCCGCCCCCCACTGGGGATGGAGCCCACAACCCGGGCCTGTGCCCTGACCGGAATCGAACCTGGGACCCCTCAGTCCGCAGGCCGATGCTCTATATCCACTGAGCCACACCGGCCAGGGCCAAGCCTCTGGTTTTATTGGACGAGTCGTTCCCGGTCAGACTCCCAGCTGTCTTCGTCCTGTCACTGAGTCCCACGCTGTGGGCAGGATGCCGTGGGCCCTGCAAGCTTTTGGGGCCTTTGCTCACCGTCTCACCATTGTCATTGGTGATGGAGCTGAGTTTCCAGCAGGTGGAGACCCCCCCAAGGCCTTCCTCCCGGCTGGGTGTGGAGGGCCGGCGTGGAGGGCCGGCGTGGAGGGCTGGTGTGGAGGGTCCGGCGTGGAGGGCCCGCGTGGAGGGTCCGGCGTGGAGGGTCCGGCGTGGAGGGCCCGGCGCGGAGGGTCCGGCGTGGAGGGCCCGGCGCGGAGGGTCCGGCGTGGAGGGCCGGCGTGGAGGGCCAGGTGCGGAGGGTCCGGCGTGGAGGGCCAGGTGTGGAGGGTCCGGCGTGGAGGGCCGGTGTGGAGGGCCTGGGTGTGGAGGGTCCAGCGTGGAGGGCCGGGTGTGGAGGGTCCAGCGTGGAGGGTCCGGCGTGGAGGGCCGGGCGTGGAGGGCCGGGCGTGGAGGGTCTGGGTGGAGGGTCCGGCGTGGAGGGTCTGGGTGGAGGGCCGGCGTGGAGGGTCCGGCGTGGAGGGCCGGTGTGGAGGGTCCGGCGTGGAGGGCCGGGTGTGGAGGGCCGGCGTGGAGGGCCCGGCGTGGAGGGCCGGCGTGGAGGGCCAGGTGCGGAGGGTCCGGCGTGGAGGGCCCGGCGTGGAGGGTCCGGCGTGGAGGGCCGGCGTGGAGGGCCGGCGTGGAGGGTCCGGCGTGGAGGGTCCGGCGTGGAGGGTCCGGTGTGGAGGGTCCGGCGTGGAGGGCCTGGGTGGAGGGTCCGGTTTAGAGGGCCCGGCGTGGAGGGCCTGGGTGGAGGGCCCGGTGTGGAGGGTCCGGTGTGGAGGGCCTGGTGTGGAGGGTCCGGCGTGGAGGGTCCGGTGTGGAGGGTCCGGCGTGGAGGGCCTGGGTGGAGGGCCCGGTGTGGAGGGTCCGGCGTGGAGGGCCTGGGTGGAGGGCCCGGTGTGGAGGGTCCGGCGTGGAGGGCCTGGGTGGAGGGCCTGGTGTGGAGGGCCCGGCGTGGAGGGCCCGGTTTAGAGGGCCCGGCGTGGAGGGTCCGGCGTGGAGGGCCTGGGTGGAGGGCCTGGGTGGAGGGCCGGCGAGCTGCCTGCTGGAAGCCAGGGCTCTCTGCTCTCCGGGCCGCGGTGAGGGGGAGATCGCCCCTCTCGCCGCCTCTGGAAGGGACGCCTCCTCTCCCTCCTCCCCTGCAGATGGCGGCTCCCGGACGCCCCGCGGCCCTCCTGCTCCTGCTGCGCCTCGGCCTGGTGGCGGCCTTTCCCAACGGCCGTGTGACCGAGTCCTGCGGGGACATGGTGCCCCGGCACGGCCACCCCCCACGCCCCGACCCCAAACACAGCGTGGCGGTGGCCCGGACGACGTTCTCGCCGGGGGACCAGATCGAAGGTACCGCGCGCCCGGGGGCTCCGGTTCACAGGCCGGGCTCTCCTGCCGCTGCCCACGCGGCGGCCGCCGTGGCGTCCCAGGCCCAGGGGCGTCCCGGCACCTGCTTAGACGCCGCCATCTCCACCCCACACCCCGTCTGTGTGCGGCCGCTGTGACGGCTCTGTACCTCCACCACCTCCACCCTGTACCTCCGCCACCTCCACCCTGTACCTCCGCCACCTCCACCTCCACCACCTCCACCCTGTACCTCCACCACCTCCACCCTGTACCTCCGCCACCTCCACCCTGTACCTCCGCCACCTCCACCCTGTACCTCCGCCACCTCCACCCTGTACCTCCGCCACCTCCACCCTGTACCTCCGCCACCTCCACCCTGTACCTCCGCCATCTCCACCCTGTACCTCCGCCACCTCCACCCTGTACCTCCGCCACCCCCACCCTGTACCTCCACCACCCCCACCCTGTACCTCCGCCACCTCCACCTCCGCCACCCCCACCCTGTACCTCCACCACCCCCACCCTGTACCTCCGCCACCTCCACCTCCACCACCTCCACCCTGTACCTCCGCCACCTCCACCCTGTACCTCCATCATCTCCACCCTGTACCTCCACCACCTCCACCCTGTACATCCACCATCTCCACCCTGTACCTCCACCACCCCCACCCTGTACCTCCGCCACCTCCACCCTGTACCTCCATCATCTCCACCCTGTACCTCCACCACCTCCACCCTGTACATCCACCATCTCCACCCTGTACCTCCACCACCCCCACCCTGTACCTCCGCCACCCCCACCCTGTACCTCCATCATCTCCACCCTGTACCTCCGCCACCCCCACCCTGTACCTCCATCATCTCCACCTCCACCACCTCCACCCTGTACCTCCACCATCTCCACCCTGTACCTCCGCCACCCCCACCCTGTACCTCCGCCACCTCCACCCTGTACCTCCACCACCTCCACCCTGTACCTCCGCCACCCCCACCCTGTACCTCCGCCACCCCCACCCTGTACCTCCGCCACCTCCACCCTGTACCTCCACCACCTCCACCCTGTACCTCCGCCACCCCCACCCTGTACCTCCACCACCTCCACCCTGTACCTCCGCCACCCCCACCCTGTACCTCCATCATCTCCACCCTGTACCTCCGCCACCTCCACCCTGTACCTCCATCATCTCCACCCTGTACCTCCGCCACCCCCACCCTGTACCTCCATCATCTCCACCCTGTACCTCCGCCACCTCCACCCTGTACCTCCACCACCTCCACTCTGTACCTCCACCACCTCCACCTGCTCCCCCATCTGTGTGCCGCTGCTGTGACGGCTCTGTGACCTACGCAGTATGTCTGCTCCCCTCTCAGGGCTGGCTTCCAGGTGTGTGCTCATCCTATTAATGTGTGTTCATGGACAATATATAGACGCCACAGAAAAGGAGCATAAAGCTTACTTTATCTGGTTTGATTTGTCATACACCCTTATCCCTCTCTTTCCTTTATCAAAATCTTCTCTCTCTTTTTTATTTTTAATTTAAAAAATATATATTTTATTGATTTTGTACAGAGAGAAAGGGAGAGAGATACAGAGTTAGAAACATCGATGAGAGAGAGTCATCGATCAGCTGCCTCTTGCACACCTCCTACTGGGGATATGCCCGCAACCAAGGTACATGCCCTTGACCGGAATTGAACCCGGGACCCTTCAGTCCCCAAGCCGATGCTCTATCCATTGAGCCAAACCGGTTTCGGTTCTTTTTTATTTTTAAATGTATTTTTCTTGATTGCAGAGAGAGGGAGAGAGAGAGAGAGAGAGAAACATCAATGATGGGAGAGAATCATGGATCGGCTGCCTCCCCCACACCCCCTTCTGAGGATCGAGCCTGCAACCTGGGCCTGTGCCCTTGACCGGAATCGAACCTGGGACCCTTGAGTCCGTAGACCGGTGCTCTATCCACTGAGCCACACCGGCGAGGGCTCACTTTCTTGGCATAGTGTTGTCTTTTATGGTCCCTGGTTCCTCTGGCAGAGTGCGGGCTGGCTGGTGAAGGCGTGACTCGCCCGGCCTCCTGCGGATCCACTTCCTGCGGCTGCAGAAAAGCCAACGTCCGCACACGGAGCAGAGGAGCGGGCGGGAAGCGCACTTCAGGTGCCTGTGTCCGCCTCCCGTCTCCACGCTGCGCGGGGGCGGTAACGGGCCCAGGATCCGCAGTGAAGACCCTGGATTGCTCCCATCCAGCGTTTCCCAAGCTCGTTTGGCCTCAGGGGCCAGACCGTGGCCACCTCTGCCTGTGGACGGTGGGACCAGGTCTGCTCGAGGACGGCGGTACCAGGTCTGGCAGGGACTGTCCCTGACCGTGGCCACTCTGCCCTGGACGGCGGTACCAGGTCTGCCCGCAGAGGGTGGTATCAGGTCTGGCAGGGGCGGCCCGGGCGGCCCGGTCCAGAGCTGTGTGTGGGATGTTGCCACCGTGTCCTCTCCCAGGACGCTGTGTGTGTGAGCGGCCGTTTGGACCCTGCGGCGCCCCCTCTCGCCGTCCCTCCGGGCATTGCCAACCCCCCCCTGTCTGTCTCTCCGTCTGTGGCAGTGGCTGTGTCGGGGCCGGAGTTCAAGGGCTTCCTCCTCGAGGCCCGGAATGCCGAGGACCCGAGCGGCGCCCCCGTGGGCTCCTTCACGCTGATCGACAAAGAGGCGTCCCAGCTGCTGACCTGCGGGGGGAAAGAGGTGTGTGTCTGGCCTGAGGCCGATTTCTGTCTGTCCCCACGGGCCTTTTCCCAGCAGGAAAAGGGAACTTTTCACCCAGGGAATGCAACATCCGCATCGATGCCCAGCCACCCCCTGCCTCCCCCGCTCCCCCACTTTACTACTGGCATCTACTTTGCACGTGTGCATCCTGGGGGAGGCAGGAGAGCTTGAACAGTGAATGACTCCTGATATCCCATGGACTGTGACTCTCAGTAGGTTGACTTTGGAAGGTGTCAATGTTGAAGGCAGAGTTCTAGAGGGGGACGAGATTTCAACTTTCGTCGCTCACTCATTCGTTTAGTGAACATGTATTATCCCAGGGACTGTCTCGGAGAGCTCATAGCCATGGACACGAGTAAAGCATGTGGACATGGGACATGGGACATGGGTAGGACATGGATGAGGGACAGACACATGAGTAAGACCGTGCGATGACGTAGGTGCCGCACACAAGCTCGAGGGGTGGGGAGAGAGCTGCTTGGAGGACTGGGCCCTTAAGCTGGGTCCCAGGGCACCTGCGGATGAGGGAGGTGGGAGGTAAGACTGAGAGGCAGGCATCACGCACACATGTAATCACTGCCTATTTGGAGGCGGGAATATTTTTTCTTTGGATGAGCCTTCTGTGTCCTAGCTGTGTGCATGAATGGAAGGAATACACATTTATAATATAAATCCGTGGTCCGAAAACTGCGGCTCACGAGCCACAGGCGGCTCTTTGGCCCCTTTGGTGTAGCTCTTCCACAGAACACCACGGCCTGGGCCAGTCTATTTTGAAGAAGTTTAAGTTAAAAAAATTTGGCCCTCAAAAGAAATTTCAATTGTTGTCCTGTTGCTATTTGGCTCTGTGGACGAATGAGTTTGCTGACCACTGGTATAAATGAAATAACAAGCAAATCACACCCAGTATTCGTAACTCTCTTTAGTTCCTTTTTTAAAAAAATATGTTTTTATTGATTTCAGAGAGAGGGAGGGAGGGAGAGAAACATCCATGATGAGAGAGAATCACGGATTGGCTGCCTCCTGCACGCCCCCTACAGGGGATCGAGCCTGCAACCTGGGCCTGTGCCCTTGACTGGGAATCAGACCTTGGCCTCCTGGTTCATAGGTTGGCCGCAGGGCCGGGCGCTCCTGAGCTCTGGCATTTCTGCGGACGGGACAGATCACAGAGCCAGTGGCCAGGCTTCCTTCCCAGTCCACCGCTGCCCGGGGACGAGGCCCCGGCCACGCACACTGAGCCGGCCGGCTGCTGGCCTTCAGGCTGACGGAGCTCCCGCATCTGCCACAGGGGTCCGCCGTGAGCCACTCCAATGCGCACAAGAAGACCGCCGTGAAGGTCCTCTGGGACGCCCCCCACAGCGCCCCGAACCACGTGCAGTTCCTGTGAGTACAGGCCCTGCCGGGTGTCTGCACTGCACCCCTCGGCGGGCTCTCCGTGTGTGTGTGTGTGTGTGTGTGTGTGTGTGTGTGTGTACTGGGGGGGGGGCAGCGGGTGACAGCATCACCTTAGTGTGTAAGCAGCTGTTTGGCTTTTCTCTCTCTCTCTCTCTCTCTCTCTCTCTCTCTCTCTCTCTCCCTCCCTCCCTCCCTCCCTCTCTTCCTTCCTTTCTTTCTTCTTTTTTAATTTTTATTACATCTTATTGACTTTCTACAGAGAGGAAGAGAGAGGGATAGAGAGTTAGAAACATCGATGAGAGAGAATCATCGATCAGCTGCCTCTTGCACACCCCCTACTGCGAATGTGCCCGCAACCAAGGTACATGCCCTTGACCGGAATCGAACCTGGGACCTTCCAGTCCATAGGCCAATGCTCTATCCACTGAGCCACACTGGTTTCGGCTCTTTCTTCTTAAAAAATAAAAAATAAATAAATATATATATATATATATATATATATATATATATATATATATATATTTGTGTTGATTTTAGAGGGAGAGAGAGATAAAAACATCCGTGTTGAGAGAGAATCATGGATTATCTGCCTCCTGCTCGCCCCACCCTGGGGCTCGAGCCCACCCCCCGGGCGTGTCCCCTGACGGGGGATGGAACCCTGACCTCCAGGTTCCGAGGTCGACGCTCAGCCCCTGGCCACGCCCAGGCCTGGGTGTTGGTTTTCCCACGAGTGAGTGACCCCCGGCGCCTGGCACGGGGCTGCCCCCGGGGGGCGCTGCGAGGGCACGGGGTGCGCGGACGCAGCCTCGCCGGCCTCCACTCGGACGGAGCCCTCAGCCCTGAGTGTGCGGGGAGCCGGGCTGGGACCCGTAGACCTGGGGTGAGGGCGGAGACCCCAGCCCCGGCGAGTGGGTGCGGCGGGACACGTCCCAGGTTGGGTGGTCGGAGCGCGGGTCCCGGAACCTCCTAGAAGTCACCCTGCTGAACGTGGCCGGCTCCTGAGCGGGTGAGGGCCTGGCTTTCGGGGGAAGTGCCCCGACAGGCCTCCGTCCTCCGCGCCGCCCGGGCTCCAGGTCCCGGTGTGTGGGCTCCAGGTCCCGGTGTGCGGGCTCCAGGTCCCGGTGTGCGGGCTCCAGGTCCCGGTGTGTGGGCTCCAGGTCCCGGTGTGTGGGCTCCAGGTCCCGGTGTGTGGGCTCCAGGTCCCGGTGTATGGGCTCCAGGTCCCGGTGTGTGGGCTCCAGGTCCCGGTGTGTGGGCTCCAGGTCCCGGTGTGTGGGCTCCAGGTCCCGGTGTGTGGGCTCCAGGCCCCGGTGTGTGGGCTCCAGGCCCCGGTGTGTGGCGTGTGAACGCGGGAGGTCACCGCTCAGCTGGCGGTGGCCTCTGCGTCCCCGAGCAGCCTCCCGCCCTGGGGCCGCTGCCCTGCCTCTGACCGAGCATAAGGCTGGTGCAGGCTTGGCATGTGGGGGGGGGCAGGGAGGGGGGAGGAGATCATGCAGTTTAGTCTCTGGGCCTGGCTTTGGGAGTGGGCCCCCCAGTGACAAGTCAGAGTAGAGGAGGAGGGGAAGGAAGAGGAAGAGGAGGGGGAGGGAGGAGGAGGAGGAGGAGGAAGAGGAGGAGGAGGAAGAGGAAGAGGAGGAGGAGGAGAGGAAGGGAAGAGGAGTGGGAGAGAAGAGGAGGAGGAGGAGGAAGAAGAGGAGGGGGAGGGAGGAGGAGGAGGAGGAAGAGAAAGAGGAGGACGGGTGAGGAGGTGGGGAGAGAAGAGGAGGAGGAGGAGAGGAAGGGAAGAGGAAGAGAAGGGGGAGGAAGGGGGAGGGGGGAGGAGGAGGAGAAGGAGAAAGAGAAAGGAGAGGGAGGAGGTAGGGAGGGAGGAGGAGGAGGAGGAAGAGGAAGAGGAGAGGGAGAGAAGAGGAGGGAGGGGGTGGGGAGAGAGATCTGGCAGGCACTCCTGAGTCTGAATTCCTTCTCACCCCTGGACCTCTGACCCCCCGCTGGGCCTGTTGGGGTTCTGGCTGACCGGTTCTGCATCCCAGGGCCACCGTGGTGGAGAAGTACAAAAGCTACTGGGTGAGGCTTCCCAGCCCGGTCATCTCCCAGCCCAAGGCCCCGCCCTTCTCCACGCCCGCGGCGACCCCAGCGCCTTCGCCAGCCTTGCCTGCCGCCTCCGTTCTCTCCGGGCCAGTGAGTCGCCCCCTGTGGTGCCCAGACGCAGTCTAGGGGCCTCCTTGGGAGCTGGGGTTCCCCACTCGGGCCCTGAGGGGCGGTGGCCACAGGCAGATCCCGAGGGAGGTGCTCGCTGCAGCCTTAGGACCTGCCGGTTACTGGGATGGAGCCTGCCACCCGGGCCTGTGCCCTGGCCGGGAATCGAACCAGCGACCGCTGTGCCCGGGACGACGCTCAACCAACTGAGCCCCACTGGCCAGGGCGCTTATGTTATTTTAACATCAGGTCGGAACCGAATGCAGGAAGCAGAGCCCAGGCTAAACACACAGCAAGTTTCCTTGCTTGCTCTCACAATCCCACCCCGGGAAGCGGGAGGACACCTGCAGGCAGCACTCCCTGTGGAGTCGGCATTCCCTGAGAAGTTTCTCAGCGTTTCCCCGGACTGCCCTGGGAACCTCGCTGACGGGAACTATTGTGTGCATGAAAGGGACTTTAATACCGGAGCAAATTACAGTCCTGGGCCGTGCCTCCCAAACGCTCATTGAAACGGATTACGTTGACAAGTGCATGGCCTTTGGAAGGACTGCCCCGGCCATTTCTAATCAGAGCCCTGTCCCTGCCCTTACTGTACCCCTGTACGTATAGCGAGTAAAATAATAATAATAATAATAATAATAATAATAATAATAATAACAACAACAATAAGAGAAAAGTGCAGAAGAGCTCGCCCAGAGCATTAGGAGAGAGGAACCCTGCGGCTGGGCCCCTGCTCAGGCCCCACCAGTCTCGGGTTCGAGGCCGCCTGGCCACCCAGATGGGCCGCTGTGAGCCGCGCGGCCGGAGGGTCCTGCTCTGAAAAGGGGGTCTCGTCGGGCCGTGGGAGGGGACCTCCTGCCTTTGGGGGTGAGCTGCTGGTCTGATCTCTTGGCCCCACCCCGTCCTCTCCCCAGTTCAGCGCCGCGGGCTGCGGGAGCAGCAAGTTCTGCGTGCGGAGCCCCTCGGCCTGTGACCCGGCGGCCGAGCACGCCTGCCTCTTCCTGTCCTTCACGCCGGACGGCCGGTCGGTGACGGTGGAGCTGAGCGGCCCCAGCAAAGGCTACCTGTCCTTCGCCTTGTCCCACGACAGGTGGATGGTGGGTACCTGGCCCGGCGTCCGCGGGGTGACGTTGGCCCGGGGTGAGCTCCGCGCTGGGCGGGCCAGCTGTTTGTTCCAGAGTCAGACGCACGGAGGGCGGGCGGGAAGGGGGGTGACGAGGCTGTCGTTTTGCTACCGTTATGAATTGTAATGCAGATACCTGTGTTTTCCCATGGTCTTAGGTGGGTCGGGTTGAGAACCGCTAGCAGCGTTGCCTAAGACCATCGGAAAACACAGATATTTACATTACGATTCATTAACAGTAGCAAAGCTACAGTTATGAAGCGGCAGCGAAAATAATGTTATGGTTGGGGGTCACCACATAAGCAGCTGTATGAAAGGGTCGCAGCGTCAGGAAGGAGAGAACCACTGGTCTAGGGAACGATTCAGAATGGGAGACAGAACCAGAACCACACACAGAACGTAAAGCCCACAAGACTCGCTTGTACATTCCGATGATACCACGTGCCTGGAAGATGCAGCCTGCCCTTTGATGGTGATTGACATGAGATCCCGAGTGTAGGGAATATTCGAGATGACAGGACCCATGAGAGTCGGGTCGGCAAAGAATGCCTCCCTGAGCGGAGACATGTTGGCCTCAGGCGTAACCTATTGGATGTGGAATGCGGACAATAGTCTCAATATTTGATTACCATATCTTCCATCTTGAAAGCTACCCCCAAACCAATAGAATATAGTGCATTTACAGTCATGAAAATGTTCAAGACCCAGATATATCTTTACAAACAAGTATCCAGAATCATATTCATGATACATTAAAACAGGTAACAAGACTGTTTATTTTTCTATTTGGAGAGGGAAAAAAACGATAGGTATAAATTTAAATAGATTTGAAAGTATATGAAAGCATTAACTGTGGCATTCAATCGGGGATGGGTTTATGGGCATAAAACACGTCATGTCTATTTTAGCCTGTTTTTTTTTTTTTTTTTTTAATAATGAAATTGTATTGCTTTCATAGTATAACAAAATCATATTGATTCGTAAATTGGACAGCCATGCTATCATTGAAGGCTTCCAGTGAATTATGTTTCAAGAACACCAAATACTATTTGATTTTTATTAAGGACTTAAAACACAGCATTGGACTTCCTTCAGACTCTCCTCCTTTCCCATCATCCTCTAGGGCGATGACGATGCTTACCTGTGTATCCATGACAACCAGGCCGTGAGCATCCGACCTGCCCATCTGACTGGGCGGAGCCACCCTGCCCTGGACTCCTGGGTGAGTGTCCAGGTTCGGGGAGCCTCTGCCTGGCCCGCCCCCCTCCGGCCACGCGGCTCACAGGGGCCCGTCTGTGTGGCAGGGTGGCCTCAGACCCCCAATTGGTGGGGCCTGAGCAGGGTTCCTCTCTCATCACACTCTGGGAAAGCTTTTCTGCACGTTCCCTTAATTTTTTTTACTAGCTACACACATATATATATTTAATAAAGTTTATATGTATCTAAGGTGTGCAACAGGATGTTTTTTTTAATATATATATTTTATTAATTTTTTACAGAGAGGAAGGGAGAGGAATAGAGAGTTAGAAACATCAATGAGAGAGAAACATTGATCAGCTGCCTCCTGCACACCCCCTACTGGGGATGTGCCCGCAACCAATGCACATGCCTTTAACCAGAATCAAACCTGGGACCTTTTAGTCCACAGACCGACGCTCTATCCACTGAGCCAAACCGGTTAGGGCAACACGCTGTGTTTTAAAAAAATGTTCTTATTGATTTTCTTTTAGAGAGAGGGGAAGGGAAAGGGAGAGAGAGATAGAAACCTCAACGAGGAGAGAGCATCACGGACCGGCTGCCTCCTGGATGCCTCCAGCTGGGATGGAGCCTGCAGCCCAGGCCTGTGCCCTGACCCAGAACTGAACCTGGGAACCTTCAGTCCGCAGGCCGCCGCTCTGTCCACCAAGCCAACCCGGCGAGGGCGACTTGCTATTGCTTGTCCAATGCTTTTTTTAAAAAATATATTTTATTGATTTTGTACAGAGAGGAAGGGAGAGAGATAGTTAGAAACATCGATGAGAGAGAGTCATCAATCAGCTGCCTCTTGCACACCCCCTATTGGGGATATGCCCGCAACCAAGGCACATGCCCTTGACTGGAATTGAACCGGGGACCCTTCAGTCCCCAAGCTGACGCTCTATCCATTGAGCCAAACCGGTTTCGGCTTGTCCAATGTTTTTGATTGTGTGCTATGGCCAGATGGCGTCTTTTGTGTCTGCCAAAGCTTCTCTCCCGGGGAGAGGAATGTGGGGCTTCTGATTCAGAGTAAAAGCAATACGTTTGCCAGTGAGATGAGGACAAGCGGGGAGACGGCGCTGGCTGTGCTCTTTGAAGGGGAAGCGGAGACACAAGGCCGGCCAGACCCGGCGTGCACGGAGGGCCGCGGAGAGAGGAGCGTGGACGGGCGGGACTGCGGACACAGCGTGTTTTTAGCGGATCGGGGAGGCGCCGACGAGACCCTGTGTGCTCGTAGGACACCCTGGAGGCAGTGGCCTGGCGGCTGGAGGACGGCGGGATGCAGTGTTCTTTCAGGAGGGACATCGCCCTTCCCGGGGTTAAGGGCAGGTTTGACCTAAACACCAGCTACTACATCTTTCTAGCAACTGGAGCGGCTGAGGATGGTGAGTGCTGTGTATCGATAAAAACCATCTTTTCAAGGTTTCTTTCTCCTCTCTTGTCTCCCTCCCCCCCATTTAAAAATGTTTACACTGGTGGGCAATGAGTTATCAAAACCCTCTTCCCTCTTGCCTTCCCTTTTGACCTGGGTTGGCCTTTGAGCTTGGTTTCCCCAGACACGAAGCAAAGGCAGGGTCAGCAATGCTATCAGGCCTCCTGCTCACGAGGAAAGCGGTTTCCGGCTGGTGAGCAGCATCTGGGCCAGATGTGAGAAACTGGGGGAGCTAGAAAAGTCATTTTATACATATCGAGGGGAACCACGGCTCTTCTGCTTTTTATTGCTAATTTTTGGTTTTGTTACATTTTGGCTAGATGATAAAGCTGGTTTCCTATAGAGTTACATCTTTTTGGAAATTATTGTCCTGTAGTCTGTGGTCTATAATATGTACTTTGGTTTGGGCCAAAGAAATATACCTAATATCAAATTTTAATTATTTTTGTTCTTTTTGACATACATTATATTCTAAAAATAATCTATGCTCCATCATTTATTTACTTTACTGACTCTCCTGACAAGGACCATTTAACTTGTTTAAATTTTTTTTTGGCTGGCATGAAAAAAGTTTCTGTGAACATTCTTGTGTATATATATTTGGGTCAAGGGTATTTCTGTAGGGTAGATTCTCAGAATATAGGAATTCACGCACATCTATACTCACCTATACAAACCAACAGGGATAACTCTACATTCACAGACTTAAATTTATGCGTAATGAACGACAATACGATAACCCATTCTCACACTGTTCACATCACTTTTCTTTGAGATGTTGGTTTGTTAGTCACACCCAGGCCCAATCGCTCAATGCCACATAATGGAGCATGCAAGTGTGTTTGTCTTTCTCTCGGGCCCAGTTTCTGTCGGCTTAATCTAGAATTCTAGATTATTTTTCATATGTGTTCTCTTTCAAGAATTTCCCTTGCCATTTTCAACCATTTGTGGTCCTATGAACGGTAATTATTTGGATGGAACATTGGCTGTGGGTGTCTCACTGTGACTCCCACCTCCCCAGCCTCATGTCTTGCTTGGCTAAGTGATTTCTTTAATTTCCCCCCCAATAAGGTCATGTGACCCTGCACCTGTGGTTAGGTTGCTTTTGCAGGGGAATGGCATCTCTGCTGATATTCGTGTTTTATTCTTTAAGAAGTTTTGTTTCCAGGTCATGACACAGTCTTTTCATCCCTTCTCTTCCGAGGAGGTAATTCTTCTTCATCTTTTTCATAATTTCAGGTAAAATTTATAGACACTCCCAGCAGCCTCTGATTACATACGAAAGACATGACGTGACAGGTGATCCGCAGGACGTGGGAGCGTCTGGGGCCCAGCCCCTGCTGAGGGCTCACGGTGAGCGGCTACTGTGTGCGCGGCACCGTCACTCCGCCCGTGACCGCCTGGTGGCTCCTGCTGGCCGGGCAGGCGGGGTGCTGGACGGGGCAGGCTCTGTGCTGGCTGGGCAGGCAGGGTGCTGGCCGGGCAGGCGGGGTGCTGGACAGGGCAGGCAGGGTGCTGGACGGGGCAGGCGGGGTGCTGGCCGGGGCAGACTGGGCGGTGGCTGGCCGGGCAGGCGGGGTGCTGGCCGGGCAGGCGGGGTGCTGGCCGGGCAGGCGGGGTGCTGGACGGGGCAGGCTCTGTGCTGGCTGGGCAGGCAGGGTGCTGGCCGGGCAGGCAGGGTGCTTGCCGGGCAGGCGGGGTGCTGGCCGGGGTAGGAATCGTGGCGAACAGAAATTAGCAACTGCTTAGAAAGAAATCTCTGTGTGAGGAAGCAGTATTCACTTTCCTGTTAAAAACATTTTAAAAATATTATATTTTTTAATATGATTTATTGATTCTAGGGAGAGAAAAAGAGAGAGGGAGAGACATAGAAACATCAATGAGAGAGAAGCATTGAGCTGCCTCCTGCACGCCATCCCACCGGGATGGAGCCTACAACCCAGGCCTGTGCCCTGACCGGGAATTGAATCTGCAGCCTTTCGATGCTCCAGTCACCTGAGCCGCTGGCCGAGGCACCTATTTGCTTTTCCCTGGTTTTTGGAGTGAGAGGTGAGACGGCTCCAATGGTTAGAGCACAGCTGCTGCCCTGACCGGTGTGGCTCAGTGGATAGAGCGTCGGCCCACAGATTCAAGGGTCCCAGGTTCGATTCTGGTCAAGGGCATGCACCTTGGTTGCGGGCACATCCCATCGATGTTTCTAACCCTATATCCATCTCCTTTCCTCTCTGGAAAAAATCAATAAAAAAGAATTTATTAAAAAAAAAAAAGCGCCGAGACCGGTTTGGCTCAATGGATAGAGCATCGGCTTGGGGACTGAAGGGACCCGGGTTCGATTCCGGTCAAGGGCATGTACCTTGGTTGCGGGCATATCCCCAGGAGGGGGTGTGCAAGAAGGCAGCTGATCGATGATTCTCTCTCATCGATGTTTCTAGCTCTCTATCTCTCTTCCTTCCTCTCTGTACAAAATCAATAAAATATATTTAAAAAAAAAGAAAAAAACAACAAAAAAAGAAGAAGACAGCTGCTCAAGCCAGGTTGGGCTCGAACCCCACGTCGTCACCTGGGCCGCTTACATGACCTCTCTGTGCCTTTGTTTCCCACCCGGCAAAGCTGGAACGATAAGAATTGTAGTCACTTCCGCGGGTTGTTGTACAGATCCGTTCGGTTCGCACCCGGGGAGCTCTCAGAGGCCGCACCTGCACACAGTAGGGCTGGGGAAGCGCCAGCTGGCAGAAGCAGTCACGGTGGCAGTGGTGCTGTGATAGGCGGCGTGTTTGGTGAGCTCTGCCAGCTGGCGGCACTTGGCTGGACTTGGCTGGTGGTTCCGTTTCTCGGCATGTGGCCGAGTCCCTGCAGGACAGGGGTCAGCTGGTGAGGCCACCACCGCCCCCTCTCCCCGCAGGGGCCCTGATGCTCGTGGGCTGGATGACCACGGTCAGCGTGGGCGTCATCGTCGCCCGCTTCTTCAAGCCCGTCCTGTCCAGGCCTCTGTTTGGCGAAGCCGCCTGGTTTCAGGTAGGCAGGGGAGAAAGGTTCATGCGGTTTCCGTGCTGTTGGTATGTTGCCGCATGAAAAACACATGAACTATGTGGTTTTCTCTCCCTTCTTTTGTGTGTGGGTGGCATCGTTGTTGTGGTTTGGGACCCTGATAGTGTCTTCTTCTTGCCCTTTGGTTTCCTGACCAGGTGAGAACAGACACAGGGCCCGGATAGAGGTCACGCAGGGCGGCCTGAGGCCGGGGCCGGGCGGGTGGAGGCGGTGCCAGGGCCGCGAGGCTCTGTGTGACATAGACCCGGGGACCGGCAGGACCCTGACCGGCATGGCCAGCTGCCCCGGGCACGGACGGGCGAGGAAGGCAGAGGGCAGAGAGGGCAGTGGCGGCTGCTTCCGGCTTGTCCACAGGGGTCTGTCCTCTGGGTGCTGCGCCCATCTGCGTCACACCCTCTCCCCCTCGCTCTCTGGTCAAGGCCGCCTGTCTCCTCTGTGTGGGGAGGGGAGCTAGAAGCGTTTCTTTTCACGTCGCCCCTTTGTCTGGGATCCGGAGGCGAGAGCCGGTCAGTTCCCTCAACACAAAGCAGAATACGCCTTGTCTTCCGTGTGCTGCATGTCAGGTGTCCATCAAAAGCGTCCCTTCGGGGAGTCTCATCGTGATCTTGGCCCCGCGGTGACCCCGAGTTCTTCCTCCGGCACCGGTCACCCCTCTCCCTGTCCCTTCCCCCGCAGGTGCACCGGGCGCTCATGCTCCTCACCTCCGTCCTCACCTGCATCGCCTTCGTCCTGCCCTTCCTCTACCGGCGAGGCTGGAGCCGCGTGAGTACCCTCTCCTGGTGTTTGTTAGATCACCCGAGCGTCAGGGAGACTGCGTTTTATCCTCAAATGGGCAAACGGCATTTCTGTGCATGGGTGACACCACCACACATCCTTGGACACGTTGCTGGCGTCTCTGATCCTCAGTTCCCCCATTTTTTAAAAGTGGGTTATTCATAACCAAGCGTGGAGCCTGCACGTGTGCAGTGTGTGCCTGGTGTGGAGGAGACACTCAGGGATAGGTGCCTGTCGTCATTATTGTTATCACCGCTGCCACCCATCATCAATATCACCACCATCACCATTGCTATCACCATCATCACCACCATCACTGTCATCATTACCATCATCACCACCATCACTATCACCATCACTATCACTGTCATCATTGCCAACATCACTGTCACTGTCATCATTGCCAACATCACTGTCATCATCATCATCATCATCATTACTACTATTACCATCATCACCACCATCACTGTCATCATTACCATCACTATCACCATCATCACCACCATCACTGTCACTGTCATCATTGCCAACATCACTGTCACTGTCATCATCATCATCATCATCATCATTACTACTATTACCATCATCACCACCATCACTGTCATCATTACCATCACCACCACCACCATCATCACCATCACCATCACCATCACCATCACCATCACCATCACTATCATCCTCCTCCTCACCATCACCACCATTATCACACCATCATGGACATCATCATCATCACCACCACCACCGTCACTATCACCATCATCATCCTCTTCCTCACCATCACCATTATCACAACATCACCATCTCTGCCACCATAATCAACATCACTGTTACCATCATCACCATCATCACCTCCATCGCTGTCATCGTTACCATCATCACCGTCATCAACATCCCTGTTGTCATCACCACCATCCAACGTTTAAAGCTACAGGGAAGCACGAAGAACGCATAGATGTGTGTTATTTCTAACGTATTTAAATTTACGTGTTTGAACCGAGGGCGGGAGTGAGAGCACTAACGTGGGGCCCCTCTGCTCAGCATGCAGGTTACCACCCCTACCTCGGCTGTGTGGTGCTGGCGCTGGCGGTTCTGCAGCCGCTGCTGGCGGTCCTGAGGCCAGCTCTGAACGACCCCAGGTACCGCAGCCTGTCCACACTGCGCTCTGCATTTTATGAAATTCAGTGATACATTCTATTTTCTTAAGAGCTTTGAGTAGATTTCAGGGGTCTCGTTCCGAGGCAATAGGGGGTTCTCTGGGGGGTTCCCTGTCGTTCTGTCCCTTTTATGGACCCTTTCGCTTCTTTCTTCTGGCAGGAGGCAGCTGTTTAACTGGACTCACTGGGGGCTGGGGACCGTGGCCAGGATCGTGGCAGGTACGTGGCCGTGGTGCTGGTGTTGGTATATGATTGCCCGTTGCCCACGATGCAGGTTGTCATTGGGCGTGAAGGCGTTTTCGGTGCATCGGTCATCGGAGTCATTGGCTGTTGAGGAGAAATCGGCCTTAAACATTGAAATCCAGAAAGTAATTTCTCGAGAATAACTGTTTAAGTTCATTATTTCAGTTTTAAGCTTGGGGTTTTTAAAACGATGCTAAAGCTTTCCTTTTAAGACTTTTTTATTTTTATTTTAGCTTTTGCCTTTGCAAGCAGAATAAATGCTGCTGCAGCCACCAGTGTGAGGGGCTCCCGTGGGGGGTCCTCGGGAGCGGGCTGCGCTGGGCCTTGGAGGTGTCCCCAGGCCTCTGTCTCCAGGCCCTTCCCGGGGATGGCCCCTCCCCCGAGGCGGTTTGCGGAGTGGGGCCTGACTCTCCCGTGCTTTGCTGCCTTAGTATAGTAACAAGGACCTAAGCTGCCTCCTCCTCCCGTTTCCGGGGTCCGTGAGGCTCCTGGTGGGAAGGGGGGTGCAGCCGCCACTGGTTTCCGCACTCGCCGCCCTTCCACCCGCAGCCTGGAGACGCTGCTCGGTGAGAACCGATAGACCACACTCTCTCACCTGCCCTTCTCGGCGGTCTCACCCGAGACCAGGGGCCGCGGAGCCGCTGTTGGGCCTGAGATAGCGATTCCGTCCGTCCCATCGGCGCCGAGCGTGTCTCTCCGCGGTGCCCCGCGCGCGCGCGCGTGCGGACACGGCCTCTCCGGCTCCTGCGCTGAACACGCGTGTCGCTGTTTCCTCCGCTCGCAGTGGCCGCGATGTTCCTGGGGATGGACCTGCCGGAGCTGGCCCTGCCCGGCCCGTGGAAGACCTACACCATGCTGGGCTTCGTCGCCTGGCACGTGGGGACCGAGGTCCTGCTGGAGGTGCACTCTTACCGCCTCTCCCGCAAAGGTACCCGCCCAGAGCCCCCCAGCACCCCCAACGCCCCCCTCCCACCGCGTGTGCTTAGCACTTGTGTTGTTCGGGGTTTGATCTGGTTGGCATTGCCTGGAAAAGAGATCGTGTGTAAGTGCCCATCCTGGTGTGCGAGAGCCTTCCTACTGGGGACGTTTGGAATGTCCTGGGAGCCGGAACTGGGAGAACAGTCTCCGAAAACCCTACCCATCAGGCTTCACTGTGTGAGTGTTCGCCTGCACGCCCACGGGCCTTACCAACACATGCTTTTGCTCTTGGCAGTTGAAATACTGGATGACACTAGAATTCAGATTATGCAGCCCTTTACCATGGCTGAGGCAGAAGAAGTAAGTCCTTCTTGTTTATAGTTTTACTAGAGGCCCAGTGTACGAAATTTGTGCACACGGCGGTGTGTGGGGGTCCCTCAGCCCAGATTGCGAGAGGGCGCAAGCTGGGCCAAGGGACCCCACCGGTGCACAATCGGGATCAGGGAGGGACATGGGAGGTTGGCCAGCAGGGGAGGGACTGTGGGAGGGCTCCAGGGCGTGTCCAGCCTATCTTGCTCAGTCTCAATCGGCTGGACCCCAGCAGCAAGCTAACCTACTGCTTGGAGCGTCTGCCCCCTGGTGGTCAGCGCGCATGTCATAGCAACTGGTTGAGCGGCTTTAACATATCATTAGCACGTTGTGCTTTGATTGGTTGAATGGCCGATCAGACGACTAGACACTTAGCATATTAGGCTTTTGTTATATAGGATTGACAAAAGCCTTCACGCTGGCGGTTCCGTCCTCTCACTTGTGCGCTTTCCTTTCAGGGCCACGGCTTTAAGAAGGCGGTGCTAGCCGTGTACGTCTGTGGGAACGTGACTTTTCTCGTCATATTCTTGTCTGCCGTCAGCCATCTCTGAGCCGGCTGCGGCCTTGCTGTGCCGGCCAGGCCAGGCGACGGTCCCATCGAGCCTCGAACACGAGGCCCGTGCCGCCTGCCGGGCGGGGGCAGGACATCGGAGCCGGAGACCAGGCCAGGCCCACGTGGGGTCCCGGCGGCTGGCCCTCAGGGTCCTGTGGCCTGGGACGCGCCGTCCAGCCTTTGGGTGCAGGTCCGAGTCCTAAAGGGAAGGCCGAGGAGGAGTGACCCTCGAATGTTTCTCCTTTTTGCACCTTTTTATTGAATGTATGGGGGTGACCCTGGTTAACGAAATGGCACAGGTTGCAGGTGGGCCGCTCCACCACACACGGTCTGTACACTGTCTGGCATGTCCACCACCCCAAGCCAGGCCTCCTCCCATCACCACCGACCCCGTCTACCCTCCCCACCTCCCTGCAGCATTTCTATGCTGAGATGCTTAAGAATGTGCCGAAACCGGTTTGGCTCAGTGGTAGAGCGTCAGCCTGAGGACTGAAAGGTCCCGGGTTCCATTCCGGTCAAGGGCGTGTACCTTGGTTGCGGGCACATCCCCGGTAGGGGGTGTGCAAGAGGCAGCTGGTCGATGTTTCTCTCTCATCGATGTTTCTAGCTCTCTATCCCTCTCTCTTCCTCTCTGTAAAAAATCAATAAAATATATTTAAAAAAATGTTAGCTCTAAGGAATGTAAACAAGAGCATCTGGAAAGTAAAGGATGACGTCAGGATGAAACGGGGAGGAGAGCAGCCATATTGGGGTGTTCTGGAAGTTTTCTGTGCGTCTTTTTGGGACAACATCTACCGGGTGTTCCCTGAACATGTACACACACTGAAACAGCTGGTGGCTCAATGTAAAAAATAGAATGTATTTTAATAAACACTGTCTTTGTAATCATTCAAAGTGTGTGTACCGTTTTTGGGGGGACCTGTACTTTTACTAGTTTATCTCAATGGTCTTTTCCCCTAGCCCAGCAGTCTGCAAACTCCTTAGTCCGCAGAGCCAAATATCAACAGCACAGCGATTGAAATTTCTCTGGAGAGCCACATTTTTAAAACTTAAACTTCTTCTAAAGCCACTTCTTCAAAGTAGACTCGCCCAGGCCGTGGTATTTTGTGGAAGAGCCACCCTCAAGGGGCCAAAGAGCCGCATGTGGCTCGGGAGCCGCAGTTTGCCGACCACTGCCCCAGGGCTTTTTGGGAAGCTGTATTTTCCAGTCCTGGTTTTGGGGACTCATTCCTTGCTCTGTGTATCCTGTCTCCTTGGTAAAGGTGAGAGTGGGGCTGACCCCACGGCAGGCTTTGTTAACGTTGAAATGTATGATGAATGTTATAATTTCTTCCCTCGCTGTGAAATGCAAGCGCACATCTTCTGCTTAAAAACTGCCTTTATGTGGTCAGCAACCGAGCCGATGGCATTTTATATGCTCGGTGTTTTGACAGTAAGCTTTGAACCTGACAGCCTTTGGAGACGGTAGACTTGCATTTCAAAATTAATAAAACTCACCCTGTGCCCTGGCTGGCTTGGCTCAGTGGATAGAGCGTCAGCCTGTGGACTGAAGAGTCCCAGGTTCCATTCCAGCCAAGGGCACAGGCCTGGGTTGTGGACTCGATCCCCAATAGGGGGTGTGCAGGAGGCAGCCGATCAGTGATTCTCTCCTCATTGATGTTTCTATCTTTCTCTTTCTCCCTTCCTCTCTGAAATCAATAAATATATTTTAAAAATAAATAAACTTGCCCTTGTGAACACATCTCAGTTCCTCTCTTGCCTTGGGGTGGCTCTGCTGGAAGTTCCTGGCTTTCTAATGAGCTAGAACCATCCGTTTTCCTTCCTGCTGCAGTCATTTTCCTGTTTTGGGGCTGGGTTTTATACCTGCTATGAAGACTCCCAGCCAGTGGGGGGCGCCATATCCCAAGGTACCGCTTGGTCCCTGCCTCCTTGGGCTGAGGTTCCTTTTCAGGTCTGAGATAACATCATGGATGTATTTCCCTCAAAGCCCACCGACTTGATCTTCATTCGAAAAAAAATCCTGCCTTTTTTTGGGGGGAGGGTTGGTGTTTTGCATCAGAAACTGAAATTAGGAGTTCACGTCCCGGCAAGAATACTTAGGCATGACTCGCTCACACATTCTTACTGCATTTCGATAGCAGGATTCATCTTGTGCATCACCGTCTGAAGCCCGGGACCAGATCTGTGTCCACTGAGGACACGGGACGTCCCCCACCCACCAGCCTCAGGTGCCACCCGGTCATGGAACCAGGGGGCTCACGTGGAGCTGAGTGACCGAAAGGGTGATATTCCAAGAAGAATAAACACACCAGCGATTGTCTGTAAAGTCTGTACACTAGCATGATCTCAATCCCGTCCCCACACGTGAGGATGAACACCTCACACGCCTGCTGGGTGTGCGCCAAGAGCTGAAGTCTCTGTCCATCAGCCGACGTGGTCCTCGGTGGGCGGAGGCGGCCGTCTGAAGGCCTCCGGGTTCGGGAGGCACTTTACGAGCCAGGGTTAGAGACGGGTGTTTCCGGGACCTTCCATTTGTGTCCCCAAAATGACAACATCAGTTAGTGGAATAGAGTCAGGCTATTTTAAATAACTTTATTCTTAAATTTAACAAGCTCTTATTATTAATAGAAATGCTTTGGTATCAGTACAATAAAAATATTCTGGTTTGCACCCCCACAGAGTCATGTCAAGTAACTGGAAAAGTTGAGTGTTCGTTCTCCCAGTTTTTTTTTGACATATACACATATATTTTATATATGTCTTTTACAAATAATGGCTACGGCTTACTCACATGGCTTAATATGGATATAACTGTGATTTTTTTTTTTTTTTGGCTCGCAAAGAAAAAGAAAGAAAGAAAATATCTGGGAGAGAAAGTTGCCCACATTCCTTAGTGTCTTCTCCGCAGTAGGTTTATGTCGATGGCGCTCCTCTCAGATAACCTTCTTCCCGAGCTTTGCCATCCTTATCCTCAGAGCTGCAAATTAAAGGAAAAAAAATAGTTATACACAGGGGTCTTTATTTTATTCTAAGTGACCATTTCATAGGATGCAGGAGAGTGTGAGACATACCTCCGGCGGTTTTGTCCAACAATGTGAGCATTGTTTTAGTGGCACAAAAAGACAGTGGAGATAGGAAGCTGTGATTAGCTCAGGGTAGAAGCAGGGTCAGAACTAGGAGGAGCCCGTTACTATAAAGATGAGAAAAGTCAGTAGAGCAAGCACAGCCAGAGTTGGGTAACTAAAGGGATAGTGCACATCCTCACCATTGGCCATAGATGAATTCCATCTATGACAGCGTCTTGTGCATATGTCTGAGCTATGCGCAACTGCAAAAAGGCATCGGCCCAAACTCTGTTTCATGGTGACATTATCTTTTAACTCATCAAACTTGACTCTACCGAGGGGTTCCCTCCTCGGATAGAGAGGGACAAAAACAAAATTTTTTATATTGAAACCACGGGAGCCGGTAACGAACATTGGAGTAATCAGAAAATGTCGTTGCCAAGGGATAAGTACTTTCAAATGCCAAATACACATGTTCAAGCACATGCCTCCACTAAGGACGTGCTGGGTGAAGAGACCATTTTTAAGAATGTCGCGTTAGAACTCAGAAGACGCGTGTGATGTGCTGGTATCATGCCCTCCGGAGTCAGGGCTCCGAGGGGAGCGGCTCCGAGGCATTTTCCGAAAGCTGAGGAGGGCCTGCGAGGCGCTGGCGGTGACAGTCCTTGGGATAGAGCTGGGTAACTGACCGCCAAATCTTACTGAATGAGAAAAGTCGAAAAGGGAAGACATGCTCTCTCATTGCTCAGCCACCTGCTGCTGGTTGTCATTCACAAATGGGACGAATGACACACCCGCAGGAAGCTCTTGTTCACATGTAGGACCCAATACGGTAACATGACCACGATCACTTTTATTGCCACTTCACATGTATGGAATGATCACATCTAAATGAGTCAAAAGGAGCAGTGTTTCCCTGGAGGCCTGAGGGGGAATGGTCATGTCTAGTGGGCGGGGTCAGGAATAGCCCCTTGAATTCCGGATCAGGCCAAGAGAGCCGTCTCTGCTGCTGGGAGAAGCTGGGAGGCGGTGCCTGAGGACCTGTCTTTCGACAGCAGGAGGGGAGCTGGGGGCGGAGCGGCACTGCTGCTTCTACTCGTGGATCCGTGGGCCTCTCTCTTGCCCGTCCCCAGAGGAGAGCAGGGCCTGGTCCACGGTCAGAGTTTTATCCGAAAATCTGAGCATCGTTTCAGGAGCACACAGGGATGGTAGAGATAATAAGCTACTGTGAACCGGGGGAAGCAGACTCAGGACTAGAAGGAACCTTTTTCTGTAAAGGTTGGAAATGAGTGGAGCGAACACAGTGTCCATTGACATCTAAGGAAGTTCTTAAAGGACAGCGCAGCTGGGGGAGGGCCTCAGGAGTGGGATCCCGTCCCATTTCTCAGTGTCCTCTTCTTTCTTGGGGAAAGACTCCTCGGTTGTTGGAGCGTGCTAATTCCTCTCTCTCCTCCTGTGGCGATGGGTTGTGTGGGTGCCAGGTAGGTCGATGTGTGGGGCCAGGGCGTGAGGGCAGGGGGAAGGCCCGGAGGTGCACAGCTAATCCATCTGGGCTAGCAACTCTCCTTCCTGCTCTTCTCTGACCTCTACCTCTCCTCCCCTCAGCGATGCAGACTCAGGCTGGCTGAACCCCTCGACCCCGAATAGTTGCCACAGATTGGCCACACCGGCACCCGTAGCATATGCATCCCCCAAGCTGAGGTTCCCCACCCCTTCATCCTGAAACGTCACTGACGTCCCTAAGAGGGGGGAGAACAGAGCCAGGAGAGGTCCAAGTCTAAGCTGGTGAGGATGCCAGAGAGAGCCAGCTGTACAGCTGGTGGGGAGAGGAGTGACATGGGGCCCCTCCCTGGCGGGAGGCCTGGCCCTGAGCTGTATCTCAGACCAGCGGCCGCCGGCCTTTCGGGCCTCATGGGCCACCAGCGGTCCATCGCTGTCTTAGGCCACGACCCTGGTAGGTGCACACCAGCAGACAGACACAAACTGTGCCGGCGTGTGTCATGTCGTATGCTGTTATAAGTTTTGGCTGAAAAATATTGTCTGTAGGACCCTCAGCCTCCACCTTTCCCGGGAGATAAACTGACCTTCTATTTTATAATACAGAGACACCGAGGAAGGAAAGTTTGCCAGACCATGAAAAGTAGAAAGAAGGGAATAGCCAAGCAATAAAGCACCGCACTCAGAAGAACATCGGCCTCTTGTTCTTTCTTGCAAAAACCAGGCGATTTGCTAGCTCGTGCCAGATGTGGAAATCACAGAGGCACAGCGAAGGAGCTGGCACCGGGGTATGGGGCGGAGAGACCGGACATGGAGGTGCTAACTGGTTAGCGATGTGGATACCTTCACCCCCGGGACCACGCACCCGGACTGAAGGCGCTTGTCAAGTATCCGCCCGTGCAAAGCCCAAATGAGGCGGCGATTTAAAAACAACAACAACAACCTATCGACTGACTCACCTCGGGGGACAATGAAATCAGGGTGAGTGATCACCTTGGCGTGTGTTAGTGGAAAGCAGGAGGGTTTGTCAGCAGCACGGGGACCGGGCGGTCACATGACCGAACAGCAGCGGCGAGCCCTGCCACGCGTGTTACCTGTGAGTGACGGGTCCTCTGTGCCGTCCCCGGCCGCCGGAGCCGCGAGTGGCAGTGGCGGGCGGGCGGGGCTGCCCAGGCGAGATTCCTGCTCTCTCAGCGACATGGAGTTCTTGTGGGGGGACGGGTGGCGGGCATCCTCCGGGGGCCTGGCCTCCGCCTTCTTCCTGGGCAGGGGCGTGGGCCTGGCCGGCTGGTGGGCCGGGCCGTGGGGCGCCCGGGCGTGGGGGGCGGGCTTCCGGGCCTCGCCCTCGCCCTCCTCCTCGTCGATGACCACCAGCTCAGCGTGGATGACGCCGTCGTAGCCCGCGAGGCCGCCCCTCTCCTCCGCGTGGTCGTCCGCCTGCTGGTACCCCATGAAGATCATGGTCACGGGCTCCGCGCCGTCCAGGTCGGGAGGCAGCGAGTGGACGATGTTGTAGCGCACGTCTTCCTCGGCCCCCCGCCCGGGGGGAGGAGGGCCCTGGCCTTCGGGCCTCCTGACGGGGGATGCCTGCTTGTCCGGCGTCCCGTCCGGCGTCCCGTCCGCCCCTTCCCAAGCGGCCGGCTGCCTCTCTGCGTGCGGAATCACCCATCGGCGGGGGCGGGGGGTCGGCCGAGGGGGGCTGTCGGGATGCAGGCCGTCGGCCCTCTCCCCCGGTGACAGCCCGTGGTCCGCGTGGGGGCCGGCGCGGTCCCGGTGGCCCCCCAGCCCGTTGGCCTGCCGCGGGGCCGGCTCCCGGACGCCCGGCCCGGGGCCCGCGCCCTCCCGCTGCGGGGTGGTGGGCCGGCGGAAGGCGTTGGCGAAGACGGGCTCGTGGTACTCGGTCGGGGAGCGGGAGCGCCGCTCGGACGCCTGCCTCAGGAGCTCCTCCACCTCCAGGGGCGCCAGGCCGTCCGCGCCATTGAGCGCGGCCCGGGGGCCGGAGCCGACCTCGTGCACCGACTTGCGCCCGTCGTCGTACACCTTCACGCCCTCGCCCGTGAAGTCCTCCGAGGGCAGCGGGATGGAGGACAGCACCGTGCTCTCGCCCGTCTTCAGGTCCTTCTCCACCTTGAGCTCCATGGCGTACAGCGCTGCAGGGGACAGGCCGAGCCCGGTCAGTTCCCGCCTCCTCCCGGACCCCGGACACTCCCCGCTCTCTCAGCCTCTGGTGTGCGTGACGGCCCCTCCCGATGGTGTCCATGGGACCCGGTCTGGCCCAGCGGTCGGCAGACTCAATAGTCCACAGAGCCCAATATCAACAGCACAACGGGTGACATTTCTTTGGAGAGCCACATTTAAAAAAACAAAAACAAACTTAAGCTTCTTCTAACGCCACTTCTTCAAAATAGACTCGCCCAGGCCGTGGTATTCTGTGGAAGAGCCACACTCAAGGGGCCAAAGAGCCGCATGTGGCTCACGAGCCGTGGTTTATGTTGAGTGTCAATCCAGGAACCAAGAGGTCACCAGTTCGATTCCCGGTCAAGGCACATGCCCAGGTTGTGGGCTTGATCCCCAGTGCGGGGTGTGCACAGCCGATCAATGATTCTCTCTCATCATTGATGCTTCTCTCTCTCTCTCCATCTCCCTTCCTCTATGAAATCAATTAAAAAAAAAAAAAATATATAAAATGCAAAGGTTCCCTCTGGGCCCGCATAGAGAACTTCATTTCCCCACCACCTGCCTGCCCCAGGGGAGTGTTTTATTTTGATCTTAGAGGAGCTTGGTGACGGGAGAGGGTGTCTGTGGAGGGGGATCCTGTGGGAGAAATGCTTTCGAGGAGAGGAGCTTTGATTTAAAGTCTGCTTATTCCCATCAGCCTTGCTCCCCGCCGACCTGGCCTTGTTGCTAGGGAACAGAGTGCCCGGACTGAATGCCACGGCCGGCCGGCCACCCGTACCTGTGCAGGTGCCCTCCCACCCATGGGAGGCTGTGAAAGGACCGCCGATAAGCTGGGCACAGAGGGCGGAGCAGGTGGCTACCGTGCCATGGCAAGGCTCTGCAGGCGGGGCCCGACTCTACCTTTTCGGCTGTGTTCATCCTCTTCCAGTCCGTCACCCCTCTCCTTCCTCAGCCGGGAAGGGACGTAGGATTTCGGAAGGTCGGGGATGTTAGCGTAGATGTCTTCGATCGACTCTGCAAAATGAATATGGATTCAAAATGCACCCGGAGGCCATGGCCAGTCAGGGAGTCATGTACGTGGGTTTGTCAGAGAGCGTCTGAGTGAGACACAGACGAGGATGCTCAGAAACATACCTCCTGGCGCTCCCTCCTTCTCCACCTTCACCGACTGGAAGGGAAAAAGAGAGTTCTTTAAGGTTAACACGGCTGACACAATGGCTTCTGCGTGTGGGTCTGCGATAAAGAACGAACTCGCTCAGAGGGGAAATCTGGGTTTCAGGCTCAGTCACGGCGCTCACCCTGATTATGTCTTCCGTCGTCCTCTCCACGGACTTCAGTTTCTTTAGAATCGCCTCTTCGTGAGCCGAGACCCGCAGCTCCGCCCTCTCCAGGTCCTGGATCTCCTTTTCCAGCCTGACGACAGAGGGGACGGACATCTTATGGCTTCGGCAGGACGAGGGCGCCACTCTCGAGGGGTCCCCCCGGGCGCCCGCTCTCCAGGGACTATGCATGGAGTGTCCTGGCCCTGCCCGCACCAGACAGCCCCTCTGGTCCCCTGGGGCACCCAGCACCGGCTCTGACTGGACAGCAGTCAGGGCCAGGTTACCGTGTGTTCCGGGCAAAAGGAATTCTCAGGGAAGTAGTTGACCCCTGACCCCTGGTCTTCGTGGCAATGACTAGGGTTACCCCCCAGTGACACCCAGGAATGCCTTGGACAAAGACTCTTCAGTTTTAAGTCGCACAGAAAGAACGGGCTGTGTGTGTGTGTGTGTGTCTCGCTCACCGGCGTATCTGGCCCACATCTCCATGTAAGTGATTTGGAAAAAATCAGAGCGATCTTTTTTCTAGCCAGTCGACACTTGAGAACATTATAATTATTGAGTTGGAGTCAAGAATCATCGCTATGTAACAGGGAAGAACCTTGTGCTCCAAACCCTGGCCCAATCCTTGGTTCTGATTTCAGTTTCCTGAGAACTGTGTGTGATGTAGTGAGGAAGGCAAGTGTGTGTGTGTGTGTGTGTAGACATATCTATCTATCTATCTATCTATCTATCTATCTATCTATCTATTTATCTAATTATCTATATCTATCTATCTATCTATCTATCTATCATCTATCTACCTGTCTATCTATCATCTATCTATCTACCTGTCTATCTATCATCTATCTATCTACCTGCCTATCTATCTATCTATCTATCTACCTATCTAATTATCTATCTATCTATCTATCTATCTATCTATCATCTATCTACCTATCTACATTTATGAGTATCTATCTATATATATATATATCCATGTAATTAGTCAACATATCGATATGTGTATACATGCATATGCACACATACATATTCATATGGGTATATATTGAAACGATTTTAGTTTTAGATATACAGGGTATACACACTTTAACAGATGGTAGGTCAATTCTGAAAATGAGATGTGTTTCAATAAGCGCTGCCTTTAGAATTACTCAGAGCGTGTGGAGACATTTTGGGGGGACACCCTCCCTGCTTAAAACTAAAATTGTTTGCACACGGGGCCTCTTGGGGGAGGTGGCTGGGGGACGCTCCCTCACCTTCACTGCTTCTCTCCCCGATGGGTTAGGGTTTCCGTAACTGCCTCATCCCGTCCTCAGGAGGTGTCACCTTTCAGGGGAGGAGGCGTGGGCAGTGCTGACTCAGGCGGCCGGCCAGAGCCAGGCGGTGGGGACGGAGAGCGGGCCTCCTGCTGCCTCCCAGGCTGAGGGGGGCCAGTGGGTGAGTGGGCCCCTCCCCGCTCCCTGGGTGGGCAGGAGAGCAGCGGGCAGTCCAAGCTGGACACACGGAGCCCAGCCTGGGACTCCCCGGCTCCCCGGTAGTATGGCTCCAGCCGGTGTTGGATTCAGCTGAGCAGGGTTGACCCTTGACCCATGACCCCTAACCCTTCCTCTGAACCAGGAAGCTGTGTTCCTTTCCTGCCCACAGGAGACTGGGAAGGCGCTGGGGTTTTGTCTGCAGGTTCCCTTCCCCGGCCCCAGCTCTGCCCACGGGCACAGAAGGGAGCCTGCACGAGGCTGGCCAGCACGGCGGGGGCCCCGAGCCGCCGAGCTCCTGCTCTCTCATTTGGGGTAGGAGCTTCCGGAGGGTTTTCGTGAGGAGGTAGAGGGGTCACAGGGTGTGACCCAAAAGGCGCTCCTCAGTAAGGGCTCCTGTCCCTTCTCCTCGCCTCTGCTGGCGGGGAGGGGGCAGGGAGAGGGGAGAGGAGGGCCGGCTCCGACATCTCCAGGGAAAGAGAAAACCTACCAGGTCCAACTGGAGCTTCAATCATCTTCAATTAAAAAATCAATCAACCAATCAATTAACCAATTTAAGAGAGAGAGAAAGATCAGCTTGTTGTTCTAGCCTGGTTGGCGTGGCTCAGTGGTTGAGCATGACCTCTGAACCAGGAGGTCACGGTTCCATTCCCACTCAGGGCACAGGCCTGGGTTTGGGGCTCGATCCCCAGTGTTGGGTGGGCAGGAGGCAGCCGATCCGAGATTCTCTCTCATCATTGATGTTTCTGTCTCCCTCTGCCTCTCCCTTCCTCTCTGAAATCAATAAAAATATATTTTAAAAAATGTGTCATTCCACTTACTGATGCATTCACTGGTTGACTCTTTGTGTGCCCCAACTGGGGATCCGACCCGAAACCTTGATGTACGGGGACTATGCGTTTGGAACAAGGGGGTGCTAACAGCTTCAGGGACACCCTGTCCTTGCCAACCCTGTTCTAGACATTGCCAGGATTGTGATAACAACCACGGGACGGTGTCTGATTGATGAATGTGGTCCGTGCTTGTGGACCACCTGCTCGTACCCGCACCCCCGCGTCTCCTGTTCTTTCAGAAATAGCGCTCCCTGGGTTTCACGTGTCTCTTCCGCCACCCGGCCACAGATGACACTTCCCAGCCCCCGGTGTGGAGGAGTGCCACGTGACTGGATTCTGGCCAATAGGACAGCAGGAGAAGTGACCTCTGCGATGCTCAGGTCACAGCCTTAAAATAGAGGTGTCTGTGCTCCTTTATCTTCCCCAGGCTGGAATGCGGAATGGCCGCACAGTCAAGGGCACCGCTCTGGGGGTGGGGGTGGGGGTGGGGGGAGCAGAGGAACAACAGGCAGGATCAGTCCCCTGGAATGACTCCCTGCCGATGGCTACGGGTGGGACAGAGGAACTTCTCCCATCTTGTTCAGGCCGCTGCTGTGCTGGAGTCCCATAGGACATGGAACCCCCATTCTCCCATAACCTCACGGGGCGGAATCTCAGTGGCCGATTTCATGAACTTTCCCCCAACCCTCCTTCTCCATTCCCCATTGTTCTGCAGAATTACTCATGCATGGCTTGCATTTTGGGGTAGTTAGCCAGTAAAAATAATGATAAAAAATAATCCAGTCCTTGCTCTGGTGGGTAGAGAGTTTACATATTCTGAAGGCTCTGTGCTGTCACGCGCTATTAATACGCAGCACCACAGGTCCTGGGGGGAAAGCTGTGATTGCAACCTCCCAGGGCGGTTCCAGCAGCTCCGGCCTCGGGGACGCCCTGCGGTGCCCAGAGCGCGTGCTGGGGCCAGGCAGCCCTGACCGAAGCGGGCTGGTCACCTGGGACGGGTGGGCGGTGATTCCTAACGGGTCGGCTGTAAAGATGCTTTATCGTTAGAGGGCATGTGGCCAAGGCCAATGCCAAATCACCCCTTCTCCATGAAATGCAGAGCGCAGGCTAGTCGAACGAGGGCTGCTCTGCTGTATTTTTGTAAAGACGGTCCCATACATGCATCAAACATTCAACAAACCTTTAGTCAGCACCTACCACGGGGCAGGCCCCTGGCGCTCACCAGCTGGCACGGGAGTGTGTCAGGACAGACAAGAGCCCTTCTCTGCACGGAGGGCGGGCGGGCGGGTGGGCGTGACGGAGGCCAGCCCCTGCCGGGGCGTGTGGACAATGACAACAAGGAAGAGCACACGCACTGGGGCAGAGCCAAATGCCCCGGGGGAGCGCGCCAGGGAAGGAAAGGGCATCTGGCAAAGGGCGGGCACGGAGCCTGCCTCCAGCCAGATCTCCTGCATCTGATCCCCAACCTTTTGGAGCTGGGCAGCAGGCCCCCCGCGGCTTCCGATCCCCCTCGATGGCGCTGGAACAAGAGTGGGTCGGCCCTGGGCACCGGGCCGGCGCAGAGGCCCAGAGAAGCTGAGCAGTTCCTAGTGACCCGCGAGGAACGCGCGGCCATCTCCTCACCAGACAGGATGCCGTCAGTGCTGGCCGTTACCTGACCGGCAGGGGACCAGGATCTGAAGCTGCCCTGCAGGCGGGCGATGTCGCAAGAGAATGGCTTAGGAGACAAGCAATCCCTCTCCACCAGCACAGGGTTTGGTAGGTGAAGGGGTTCCGTGGCCGTCAAAATGCAGGAACCCAGCCGGTCTGCAGGGAACCGGGCACGCCCCTGTGCCGGTGACACAGGTGGTTTCAAACGGATGCCCGTGAACGCACACCCTGCAGGCGGGCGCGGAGGCCGGGTGCTTAGGGGGCTCTCCAACGCATTGGCAGGCGGAGGCTGTGTGCATGTGTGTGTGCGCGCGCGCGCGCGCGCACGCGTGTGTGTGTGTGTGCATGGGTGCGTGTGTGCGCGCACGCGTGTGTATGTGTGTATGTGTGTTTTAATATATTTTTATTGATTTCAGGGAGGAAAGAGGAGAGAGAATCATGGATCAGCTCCTCCTGCACGCCCCCTACTGGGGAATCCAGCCTGCAACCAGGCATGTGCCCTGACCAGGAATCTAACCGTGACCTCCTGGTTCATAGGTCAACACTCAACCACTGAGCTATGCTGGCAGGGCTGGGTGTGCGAGTTTTGATTAGGTCCTGCTGGGAACCACCTACCATGTGCCGGCACTTAATAAGACCTACATACGTGTAATCACATTGCCCTCTGCACAGGGGCTGGAGTTTCCCAAGTGACCTTCAACTATGGAGCCCAGGACGTGGCAAGCTAGCCACAGGCGTTCTTCTCCTTGAACTTGGAAAGCCTGTTCCTTTCCTTGAGTTTAAGTGGCAGGGAAAATATTTTCAGTGAATGAACCACTTGTAATCCTATAATGAAGCGACACACCCGCTCGGTGATGCCCGTGGCCACTGACTCTCTACAGACACAATGGCCGGCTTTGTCACCCTCACGTTTTCCTCTCCGGGGTAACAGGGCCGCACTGTCCTCTGCTTCCCAGCCACCCCAGTTCGCTCTGCCCCAGGGTGCACTGTGCTCACTGCACGTGCAGAGCGGGACACTCGTCTCTGAAGACCACACGCCAACTTCCTGCAGCACAGATGCCTCCAAGGACCCGGGCGTCGTGGGCGATCTAAAGGACCTGAGCAACAACTGCCTCCGGTGGACGTGGGCGAGATGCACGGAGGCTGTGAGGCCTTCGGCTGAGCCGGGGGAGGAGCTCTCCCTGGGAGTGAGTGCGCCTGCGCCCCGAGGTACACACACCTTCCTCCCTCGCCTGGAGCCTCTGCCCTCTTTCTTTTCCTGTTGTTAATCCTCACCTGGGATATTTTTTCATTGGATTTTAGAGAGAGTGGGAGGGAGGGGAAGAGGCAGAGAGGAACATGGATGTGAGAGAGACACACAGATTGGTTGCCTCCTGCATGCACCCCAACCAGGGCCTGTAATTGAGGTACGTGTCCTTGACCGGGAATTGAACCCGGGACCCTTTAGTCCGCAGGCCGATGCTCTATCTACTGAGCTCCTTTCTTTCTTTGTGACCAGGACCTGGGGGTGGGTCACTGAAACCGGTGCCCCTCCCCCTTCCTTCCTTTCTTCCTTAGTCACATCCAGAGCCCAGGGTCTATGTCCCCTCGGCGGGTGGTCTCACATTTGTGCTTCAAGTTCCTTACACTGTTTTGAATGCAAAAGCACTTTGAAAAGTTAAAGGATATAAAGAGAGGTATTTTCAGGAGCTTAGAATTTCAAGTCTTTTCTTTTTAGTTCATTAATGTTCAAGTCATTGACTCGACTTCACCTGGTCCCTCACATCAATATTTTCCTAGTCCATCCATCCGTCCATCCCTCCATCCGTCCATCCTCCTGTCTCTTCATCATCCGTTTCTTTTTTTTTTTTTCATTCATTCACTTAATCAGCTGTGCAGTCACATGTTCATGCCATGTGATAGGCATTGTAATTAGGCATTTTTTGGGAGGGGGATGGTGAATAGATTTTTTCTTTCCCCTCCCCTCCCCAGAAAATTAATTTATTTAGCTCCTTTTGTTGAATTTGAAAAGCTCCTAAATTAAAAATAATCAGAATATCTGGGGAATTAAAAACAACAGATATGAATGACTGCAAATCTGGTAAACCAACGAGTTAAACAGGAGAGTGAGCGAAAAGCATGCTGGGAGTGGCTATGACTCCTGTAATCGCCTCGGATTAATTTCTTGAGTGTTTCTAGGCAACGGCAAATTTAAGAAGAAGAAACAAATGGTGGGTGTTCTGTGTTCTCCCCTTTGGCCCTTCCCCCCCTTCTCCTGCTCATGTGATCGCAGCGGAGCGGCTTGTCCATGTCCCTACAACGTGACGCGGGGCGTGGCTGGCGGGGGCTGAGGAGCCGTTCCTGTCATTAAGGCACAGACTGGCTTGGGCAGGCCGATGGGAGCCTCACGTAGGGGTTCAACGTGGGCCCAAAGGAGCAGGAGTTAAATCTGGTTAAACCATGACCAGCAACAAAATCCCTTCCCCTTTCTGTTTCTACATCCCGGAGTTCCTGATTGACACCGAAGCTTGCCTGGCTGACATGGCTCGGTGATTGAGCATCAACCTATGAACCAGGAGGTCAGGGTTCGATTCCTGGTCAGGGCACATACCCGGGTTGTGGGCTCGATCCCCAGGGCGGGGCATGTAGGAGGCAAGAGATCAATGATTCTCTCTCATGATTGATGTTTCTCTCTCCCTCTCCCTTCCTCTCTGAAATCAATAAAAAACATATATATATATATATATATATATATTTTTTTTAATATATATATTTTATTGATTTTACACAGAGAGGAATTGAGAGGGACAGAGAGTTAGAAACATCGATGAGAGAGAATCATCGATCAGCTGCCTCTTGCACACCCCCTACTGGGGACGTGCCCGCAACCAAGGTACATGCCCTTGACCAGAATCGAACCCGGGACCCTTCAGTCCGCAGGCCGACGCTCTATCCACTGAGCCAAACCGGTCCCGGCAACATATATATATTTTTAAATTGAGCTATCAGCTGTTAAAGTGTGTATACATTTTTTGGGGGACACCCTATCTAAAGTGCCTGGAAGGCACTATGGCTAGAAAATACAATTTTCTCCTCCTTCTCCTCCTCCTTCTCCTCCTCTGCCCCTCCTCCTCCTCTCTTTCTCCCATGCTGTCTCTATTTTGTGATAACACTAACAATCCTATTGTATATCTGAGCTTTCAGATTCCCCCCACACCCATCACCTCACTGTAAACCCAGGCGATGGAAAGCTCGGCCAGACCAGAAGCTGCTGACTGTACTGAGCACGTGTGCCGGGCAGGGTGGGACCTGGGAAGGGAGGTCACCGCCTGGGACCAAATAATCGGGGAGATCGACGAGAGATGATGTTGTGAGGTCTCCCCACAGCGCCTTCTCCTCCTGCTCTGTGGGCGTGGCAGGAGGCCGGGCAGTGTGGGTGGGGGGGACAGCGGAAGCACCCGTGGGGCTGTCCCGCCCTCGGGGAGGGTTGGGCTGGGGCTGCGCAGGCCTGTTGCTGGATCACCTGTACACCGGGCAGGTGCTTCTAGCTTCCCGTCTGAGTTTGTAAGCTCTCCGTCATTCTAAAGGACGGTTATCGGTGCTACCGTCTTGTGGATGAGCCACAGGCGGAGCCACCGGTATGCACTTGACGAATGCCTCTCGGTTGCTAGGCGCGGGTGCCATGCACGGCACAAGCCCCACGCTCTCTTAGGGGCACTCCCCTGGCTTCTACTGGAAATCTCACACGGAAGATCGGAGCTGGTCCCCAAACGTGAGAACGGCTCCCCCAACTGTGCGTGGGGCCCGAGTCAGGATGCCGGTGGCTGGGGAGGCCGCCGCCAGGCCCTACCTGAGGATGCTCTGGTCCAGGGCCTGGATCTGGCGCTGGTCCTGCTGGTTCTGCCTCTTCAGCTCCTCCTGCTCCTTCCCTCCGCCGCCGACCCCGTCCAGCAGCCAGCTCTCCCGCAGGGCCTTTTTCTGAGCGGGAGACACAGAGACGCTCCTGAGACCGGTCCGCACCCCCAGGCCTCCGACACTCTCACAGCCAGGCGTTTCCACACGGGCACACTGCACCTCTCACCACCTGGCCTGAACAAACGTGGCACTTTCCTTCTTTTTTAAAAAATATATTATTACTGAGTTCAGAGAGGAAGAGAGAGGAGAGAGAGAGAGATCAATGATGAGAATCACTGATGGGCTGCCTCCTGCACGCCCCCTGCTGGGGATCATGGTTGCAGGCAGGGCATGTGTCCTTGACCAGAATTGAACCCGACACCCTTCAGCCTACAGGCCGATGCTCTTTCCACTGAGCCAAACCAGCCAGGGTGGTGGTTTGGAATTTCGTCCGTTTTCCCAAAACGAAGGCGAGGTCTGTTTCACCGTGAGGACAGAAAATGCCCAGAACCTGCGGGGCAAACTGCCTTCCTGAGCTGGAGCCCTGGAGCCGAGGGGAGGGGAGCGGGGGGAAGAGGCTGGTGAATTTGGGAGGGGCTTCCCCCCCCTCCTGTTCGCGTCTCCCGTGGCAACGGCCGGAGGGCATTCTGAGAGAGCTTGCCTCCCGCCTCTTTCTCCCCAAGCAGAGTGCCACCTTGGTGGCGTGTCTAGCACGGCTGTCAGTCACTCGCTCAGTCACATTCCTCTGGGAGCCACTGAGTCTCGTGGCGAGAAGAGAACCTTTCCTTATTTCCTGGGACCTCTCTCTCTCTCTCTCTCTCTCTCTCTCTCTCTCTCTCTCTCTCTCTCTCTCTCACCGTCCACGGGAACCGGGAAGAAGGGTGCGAGGATGACTGCGGCCGGGATACTCGTGTCTGAATTTTTAAAAAAGCGTAAGTGAGGGTGTGCTGGCGAGTTACCGGAGGCCGGTTGTTTTAAGGCAATCGCTCTCACATGGTTGGAAAACGGCGCTGGTGACGGGGGTGTGGTGGGAAGTGGTGACACAGAGGAGGCCTGGCCTGCCCCCCGGGCTCTGTGGGCAGCCTGGGAGCTGGACACGCACGGAGCACCCTTTGCCAACCCGGGGGTGAGCAAAGCCCCCCTCCCCCAGGTCACAGTGTCTGCGCTGGCCTCTCGGAGGTCAAGGGCAGGTGGACACACGCCCAGGAGCCGGAGCGTCCTGTAGTCCTCCCTCAGCCTCTAATTATAGCCGCTGAGCTGTGCCGGACACGTTTTCCCAGACACAGGCCGTGCTGTCCGTGTCACAGGCCGTGTCATTCCCAAAGGCCAGGACTCATCTCCGAGGCCCAGACGCCCTGGGGCCCGGGTGTGCCGCCTTTCACAGAACGCACCTCGAGCGTCATTCACTTTGATCTGGTGGACGCTGTGCGCAGGGCAGCAGCCAGGGGGCCCCTGTGAGAGGGCGTCACAGCCCTCCCCGGACCCGCCTGACCCTGGGGAGTGTCAGTCGTGGGCAGCCCCGTCCCCACATGCCCACTGGGACGGGCTGTTCCATGACGCTGCCCGGTGCACCGAGAGCGAGTGTGTGATGCCATGACGGCAGCCTGGACCACCTCCGAGACTCTCGGTCTGGGTGGGAGGGAGAGTGATTTTCGTTTTAGCCGCGTGAAATGTGGAGCGTCGCCCACACCTCGCCGTGTCCCTGGCAGAGAGCCTGTCCCATCTGAACGGAGAGCCTGTCGTGGGGACGTGCGATCAGAATGACACGGTTACTCTGCCTTCATGTCAGGAGGTGGACTTCCACGTCCGAGGCCAGTGAACATAACGGGCTCTGTGTCACAGCGACACCCGGCGTCAGAGGCGTATTAACTCAGTGAAAATGTAGGTGGTACGGGAGCCATCGGCATTTCGGCAGTTAAAAAATTATATGTGTTTATATTTTCCAGTTACTTACACACTGAGTGGCCTGATTATTATGATCTCTGAATGCATAATAATCTGGCCACTCAGTGTGTGTGTGTGTGTGTGTGAGAGAGAGAGAGAGAGAGAGAGATAGAGAGAGGGAGATTGGGGGGTGGGCAGCGAGCCCACAGCACTGGTTTGGAGTTAGAAACGGCCCACCTCAGAAACGGTTGTAGGTCTGACTTTGGACTTGGGTCGGGCTGCAGTGAAGTAAGTTGGTGAATGAATTGGTTCTCATTCCCGGATGTTCCCGGGCACCCTGGCCGTGTCTCTCTCCAGTGACTCAGCGGGACGCCCTGGGCCAGCAGGCCGGCCCTGGCTCACACCCCTGCCCCCGCCAGAGCGGAGGAGCAGACACACGGACGCCGGAGACCCGGGCCACCGGGGTCCACAGTGACCTGCCTGCTCAGAGGGGCGCCGTGCTCCACCAGGGAGATGGGCTCAGCGAATGGGCCCCTCTGACCGCGGGTGAGGGCCCAGGAGGGCGGGCAGACTCCTCTGGGGTCCGTCACCTCTGCTGGTGGCAGCCGCCGCCCCACGGCCTCCTGCTCGGGCCTGCTCAGCCACACAGGGAAATGCTGAGCCACCACCGCGGCCACGCCCACGGAGATGGAAAGTCTGATTTTAAGTGGAGCTTTCTTTGGGTTATGATCTCATGTTCTCTCCAAAGAAAAGGAAACAAGGAGCCAGGCCATTCTCAGCCAGCACTGCACCCACTGGGTGAGCTTCCAGGCCGGGGACCTCCGAGGGCGGCAGGCAGGGTGGGTTCCAGCCTCTGGGGAAGGGCGGGCCTTCCATGCTTTGAAAAGGGACTTCCTCGCTGGACCCGCCCCCTGGGATGCTAAACTAGACTGGGTCCCGGGCTGGATGGCCGAGGCTGCAGCCTCCAGCCAGAGCGTCCAAGAACAGGAGGAAAGTCGGAGTGAAGGCTGACGGTTAGAAGGCCAGTTTCAGTTCTGCACATGCTGCCGGGAAAGGCAGACATGGCCGTCTGGGAGGGAGCTAAGGCCATGGAGGGAGCTAAGGGGGCTGCTTGGGGCTATTTCCTTCCTAATGCTACTTCCTGTTGAAACCCGAGGGCCAGGAGGGCGCCCGGAGACGGCCCTGGGAGGGAGGGGAGGACACGGTACCTTGAGGTGCTGGTGCTGCAGCTTCTCCTCCTCAATCTTCAGGCGCTTCTCGGAGATCTCCTCCTGAATTTTCCTTTTATCCTGAAACACAGAAGGCCGGACGTCATCTTTCCCATTTAAAAAATATATATTTTATTGATTTTTCACAGAGAGGAAGGGAGAGGGATAGAGAGTTAGAAACATCGATCAGCTGCTTCCTGCACACCCCCTACTGGGAATGTACCTGCAACCAAGGTACATGCCCCCAACCGGAATCGAACCGGGGACCCTTCATTTTGCAGGCCGCCACTCTATCCACTGAGCCAAACTGGTTTCAGCTGGCCCCCCTGCTTATAGCAGGCATCCTGCCCTGCTCAGCCACTCTGCACCTGCATATGCAAATTAACCTGCCAGCTCTGTTGGATTAATTTGCATAGTCACTTCTGATTGGCTGTGGGCATAGCGGAGGTATGGTCAATTTTACATGTTTCTCTATTATTAGGTAAGATGAGCAGATATGTGCAAAAGTTTCTAGAACAGTTCTTGGCACAGGGTCGCCTGTGAGTCTCTGTGGAATAAACTGCTGAATAAACACCTGACCTGTTAACCAACCAGGACACCACGCACTCATTCTGATCCGGCGTCCAGCGGTCGGAGGTGTCTGAGAGAGTCCCTCTCGGAACCGTTTGTCGCCAGGCCCTTGTTTCCTTCTGGTCACCATTGTCATCTCCTACCGGAGGTGACAGTATCGTCCATCTGACTTATAAGAAGAGCTGCTTTTAAATCTGCTTCCAAACCAACGGAGGCCTCCCACAGAACAGAGTGTTTGGCCCGGGAGCACTCTGAAGCCGGCTCTGAGGGCGACGGAGGGGGAAGAGTTCCAAACACACGTGGCAGCGTGCCTGCAGGGAGGCCCGCCTCCGGGGCGCCGCTGCTTTGAAGATAAGAATCCCTCCGATGTGGGGGCGCAGGTACATCTGCTGAAGGAAACACGCCCTGCGCTCCTGCTCTCCGGCCTGGCCATTGTTCCTCCCTGCTCCTGCGGAGACGATGAGCTCATCGGGCATCTTCCGGAAGCAGCTCTTTTGGAAAAACAATCGCCAGGCAACCGGCGGCCGGGCCACTTCTTTCCCGTGGATAAGATCTGGCCGTTGGGAAGAAAAACTCCGAAAACCTGTGAGTCAGGTCGCCGCCCTCTCTGGAGGCTGGTGCTGAGCAAATGCCAGGGATATTTTCACCGCCTGTGCCAAGCGCTGTGCTGGCACTGTTTCCCTCAACGGCTATACGAACACGATGGCTAGGGCTTCAATTCTTTCTTTCTTTCTTTCTTTTTTAATATATATTTTATTGATTTTTTTTTACAGAGAGGAAGGGAGAGGGAGAGAGAGCCAGAAACATTGATGAGAGAGAAACATGTGCCTCCTGCACACATCCTACTGGGGATGTGCCCGAAACCAAGGCACATGCCCTTGAATGGAACTGAACCTGGGACCCCCAAGTTCGCAGGCTGACGCTCTATCCACTGAGCCAAACCAGTTAGGGCCGCACATGTTTTGTTATGTTCACCCCAAGGTGCTCCAGTTTTCCTAGGCTGACGAATGAATTTGCGGACCGCTGTGCCAGACCATGTAGCCTGATGCCATCACCACCTTAAGAGACAGCTTGGGGAGCTACGGAGAGTCGTTCACTCAGGAAAATTGTCTTTAAGAAAAAATGATGCCACAGGATACCTGGGGTCATCCCTTAAGTAAGGAATTGGGGGGCGGGGGGAGTCATGCGTGAGGGAGACTTGGGATCCGTTCCCGGGCACCACCCGCCGGCCCGGCCCGCCTCCCCGGACCGCGGCCTCTGCCCCCCGGGGCCTCAGGCCCACACCGTCCAGCCGTCCCCTCGCGGCCTGGGCATCTGCTGCCCGCTCCCGGGTGTGCCCGGCTCGGGCTTTTCCTTTCTGTCCGTCTCCCCTCCCGGCACTGGGCGGCCCCGCAGCTAGCTGCCGTCCGGGGGACTTGTCAGGAGGAGATGGGTCCCCGCCGCCTCCACCAGCCGCCACGCCAAGCACGGCCGCCGGCTCCCCGAGCCTGGAACTGGGAAGTTTCCCCGGCGGTGCTAGCCCTGCCTCCCTCTCCCCTCCCCCGGGGACACGGGGCAGAGCCTGGCCTCCGGAGGGAACACGGGTGCCGTGATGGGTGAACACCGGACATGACTCGCGTGTCCCCGCTGAACCCACGCCGCGGGTGCAAACACGTGGGCCCCCCGCGGCCCTCACCTCTCCCTCCACAGCCGGAGGTGCAGCCAGCGCCACCCGCAGCCTTTCCCCCCCCCGACACCGCCCCCTCTGCTGCCACGGCGGCCCCGTTTCCCCCAAAGGAGCCGCGCCTGTGCGTCAGCTCCACCGCACGCAGGCATGTGCCCTCCCAGATCCCGGTGGAAATGAGGCCGTTTCCTTCCATTGAACGTCCAGCTCAGACCCAAGGCCTCCCAGGCCCCGTGTCCAGCGCCCGGCGCCAAGCCCGGCAGCGGGGTTCCCGCCTCAGAGCGCAGGGGCGAGCCCCGGGGTTCCCCACCTCAGGGCGCAGGGGCGGGCCGCGGGGCCCCGGGGTTCCCGGCCTCAGGGCGCAGGGGCGGGCCGCGCATGCCCGGTGCGCACAGGTCCCGGGGCACGTGCAGGCCGCGCGCACGGCCCCCCCCCTCCCCGCCGACGCTCCGCGCTGCCCTCGCGCCCCGAGGCGATGCCAACGGTCAGCCCAGCCCCACCGTCTGCGACCTCCAGACCGACCGCCCGCCCGACCGCCCCGCCGCCGCCCGCGGCCATGGGCGGCTACCTGAGCGGCCACCTGAGCAGCTGCCTCCGCTCCGCCCGCGCCTCGCTGCGGCCCTCCGCCTGGGCGCGCCGCCCGCCCCCGCCCCGGCCCGCCCCGCGCCCGCGGGCCCGGGAGCCCCCGCAGCGCCGCGCCCCGGCCCAGCCGCCCGCCGCCCGGAGGCGCGTCCCCGGGCCCCCGCCGCCCGGCCCGGCCCCCCTGGGGCGGGATGTGCCCGGGGCCCCGCTGGGGCGGGGTGTGCCCGGGGCCCCGCTGGGGCGGGGTGTGCCCGGGGCCCCGCTGGGGCGGGATGTGCCCGGGGCCCCGCTGGGGCGGGATGTGCCCGGGGCCCCGCTGGGGCGGGATGTGCCCGGGGCGCCTGCCCTGAAGGCCGCGGTGACACTGCGGATCCGCGGGCCCAGCACCTGCCGCCTGCAGAGCCCGGTGACCCTGCGGATCGCGCCCCCGGAGCGCAGCGGCAGCCTCGCCGCGTGCCCCGCGGGCCCGGAGCGCCCCGACCCCTGCGCCCGGGACGCGGTGCTGCGGGCGCTGAGCCAGTGCGGCAAAGGCCGGGCCCGCTGCGACGGCCCGCTCTGGTCTGAGGTCCCGGAGGCCAAGCGGAGGCGGCGCAGCCCCCCGCGCGGCCGCTCGGCCTTCGCGCCCATGGGGAGGCGCGGAGCGGCTCCTCCCCTGGTGCCCAGGCCGGGGCCTCTGCTCCCCGTGCAGCCCTGCGGCCCCGCCGCCCGCCCCGAGCCGCCCCTGGGCGCCCCCCACCCCGACGCCAGGCCTCCGCCAGCCCGGACCACGCAGTACCGGCCTCCGTTCCCCGAGGACCTGAAGCCTGAGGCCACCACCGTGTCGGCTTAGTCCAGGTCCGGCCGCCGCCACCTCCTGGGACTCACACAGGCTGAGCCAGAGGCACCCAGGTCCCCGCCCAGCACCCGGCTGGCAGGGCCGCCCAGCCCAGACCCCCTCTCCTCAGCTGGCAGCACCCGCTGCCGCCGCAGAATCACTGCTCTGATCACACCTCTGCCTCCTCCTCCCTCCCACCCCTCCCGCCTCTCCCAGGGCACCGGGAGGCGTCTCTCCCCTTGGCCCAGTTGGTAGAATTAAAGTTTGTACTTGTTTTACGTGGGAATTATAAGCGTTGTCATTGCCACGGGGCTGGAACAGGCTTCCTTTGGGATTCCCGTGCAGTGTCTCCACCCTGGCACCGTTAATGTTGGGGGCCGGATCCTCCTTCTATTTTTTAATCCTCACCCGAGGATATCTTCCCACTGATTTTTTTGGAGAGGGTGGGAGGGGGAGAGAGAAACATCCATGTGAGAGAGACATCCATGGGAATCGAACCGGGGACTCTCCAGTCTGCAGGCTGATGCTCTACCCACTGAGCCCAATGGGCCAAGGCGGGGCAGGGTCATTCTCTGTGGTCTGCTGGGTGCTGGCCTCTGCATGGCAGGGTGTCAGCAGAATCTCTTAACCTCTAGGTGCCAAGTTAGTGCAGCTCCCACAGCTGCCCCCGCTGTCCTGTCCGGCTCTCTGGACCTGCCCCAGCACAGCCAGCGGGGGGTGGGGGTGGGGGCCCTCCTCGGAAGGGAGCCCCACCCATGTCCATAGTTGTGCGGGCCGGTTTCATCTCGGGGTTTGTAAGAAGGTAATAAGGCTGTGGCTGGAGGCAGAGGTGGAGGAGCGAGTCCCCAGTGTTTTGGCAACACCAGGCTGGCAGAGGGTTGCTAAGGACTGCCTGTTTGTCAGGCAGTGGTAATGTGATGCCCCTATCAGCCAGGCGTTAAGAAGGTGATTTTATAACCTGGAAGGTGTGATCCTGCTTCAGGCCAGGAGCACCCTCTCCTCCTAAGACCGTCCTCGCCAGCGAGGGATGGTCCCATCGCCGGATTTCACAGGAACAGGAGTGTGGTTGAAGAAGAATGTGGCGAGAGAAACCGTCCGTCTGAGCTGTGTGTCTAGCTCTGCTGCCGGGGAGGCCACACGTGACCTTGCCGGCGAATTCCTTCCCAGATCGTCACGAAGCAAACAGGTGCGACGTGCCAGCTGCTCCCCCAAACCCCCCTGTGGGCCTGCGCGTCTCCACTGACCCCCGCTGGGACCTGGTGCCCGGTGTGCAGCGGCGTTCACGGTCATGGACAACTTACACGTCCGTTTCCGTCTCAAGTCAATGAACAAAGGGGCTTTTTGTTCAAAGGACCATTGTCCAGGTTCTCTGTGGTTTGACGTGGACTGTTGCAGAGGTTGACACCCTCACACTCCAGCTCTGTAAACGGCCACCTCTTAGTAATAATGAAAACTGATGTACCCAGTACAGCCATAGGGCTGCTGTGACCACCCGTGATTCCATGATGTGGCCTCGGTCCCACACGTGATCCAAGTAAGCACCGCACTGAGAGAGGAGCGTCTCAGAGAGGGTGTTGATGCTGACGTAGCTAACAGGATGAAAGCGCCCGCATCGGGGGGGAGGGCAGGAGTGATCCCGAGCTAGGTAATCACTGGTTCCTCCAGCACTGAGGCACGTCCATACACACGCTGTGATCAAGGCGGCGCCAGGAGTTGTGGAATGGTTAGAAGTCTGTTAGAAGTAGATGCTTCCGCCATGGAGCTTACATTCTCACGGAAAGAAAATCATGAATATAAGGACTCTAGCCTCAGACACGAACGGACCCATGGCAGCAGGTGTGGAGAACCTGGGACCAGCCGTGCTGGGCTGAGTTCAGTGCTGCTGTGTCGGGAAAGCTTCCTGCCTCAGAGAGTCCGCATTCTCTGGGAGGGGATCCGGGAAGGCAAGCCCCTAATGAGCGCCGGTCCTGTGTGGCGCTGGCTGCCCATCTGGTTCCGTGGGCAGGCACCAGGCTCCGTGGTCAGGCACCAGGCTCCGTGGCCAGGTCCCAGGCTCTGTGGTCAGATTTCAGGCTCCGTGGCCAGGACCCAGGCTCCCTGGCCAGGTCCCAGGCTCTGTGGTCAGGTCCCAGGCTCCGTGGTCAGGTCCCAGGCTCCGTGGTCAGGTCCCAGGCTCCGTGGCCAGGTCCCAGGGTCCGTGGCCAGGTCCCAGGGTTCGTGGTCAGGGAGGAGGATCCCAGTTCCAGGATGGTTGGTCGCAAGCCAGTCTCAGCTCACAGTCCCCCTTCCGCTGTCCTTTCCCATGGAAGCTGCTATGCATGTCAGTGCTCCCTGACCGACGTGAGCCTGAGACTGTCATCAAAGTGATTCCTGTGCCGTCGGCCGAGGCTGCCGTGACCGGACGCTGAGCTGGGCTGAGCGGTCCCGGCCGTGGTGCGGGGAGAGGATGGCTGCACGCGGACAAGCAGCGGAGGAGGCAGGTGGGAGCCGACTGCGCACCAGCGCCCGCACCGCACACGCCAGCGGCAGCGCTTGCTTCCGAGCAGCCATGGGGAGCGTGGGCCTCGCTCTCTGGGAAGACTGACTCCTCCGAAGCCCGCTCTGCCGCTGTGTGCCACGGAGGCATCGGCACGGCGACTGGGTTTTCGGTGTGAGGTCCCGGTGCCACGTCTCCCTGCTGACTGTGGGCAACCCTTTTTATTTTATTTTATTTTAAGAGGAACAGGAAGGCTGCTCCAGGGGCTGTGGAGTGACGGGCATTTGCTTTTCCAGCTCCTCGCAGTGGAAATAATGACGGGCCGGATACTCACAAGCAGGTGGAAGGAATGCGGCCTGGAGATCAGTGCGCTTCACGGCCAGGAGCGGGAGGACCTCACGGACCTCAGAGCCTGAGAACACTCTCTCCCTTCCTGACTGAGGGACGCCTGTGAGCTGGTGTGGTTGGAAACCCTGAGCGACCATTTGTTCCGGAAGCACGCCCACAAGATGGTTGTGGTGCGGAGGGAGGCGGGAGGGGAACACCTCAATGAGAAGATTGTCCCTGAGGACTCTCAGTGCTTCCCAAAGTGGAAGAGGCCTTGCCAAGTCTCTGGATTCTGTGTGTGCCTGTGCCTGTGTGTGAGTGTACACGTGTGTGCGTGTGTGCCTGTGTGTGCCTGTGTGTGCGTGTGTGCCTGTGTGTGCCTGTGCCTGTGCCTGTGTGTGAGTGTACGCGTGTGTGCGTGTGTGCCTGTGTGTGCCTGTGTGTGCGTGTGTGTGCGTGCGTGTGCGTGCGTGTGCCTGTGTGTGCCTGTGTGTGCGTGTGTGCCTGTGTGTGCCTGTGTGTGCCTGTGTGTGCCTGTGTGTGCCTGTGTGTGAGTGTACGCGTGTGTGCGTGTGTGCCTGTGTGTGCCTGTGTGTGCCTGTGTGTGCCTGTGTGTGAGTGTACGCGTGTGTGCGTGTGTGCCTGTGTGTGCCTGTGTGTGAGTGTACGCGTGTGTGCGTGTGTGCCTGTGTGTGCGTGTGTGCTTGTGTGTGCCTGTGTGTGCCTGTGTGTGCCTGTGTGTGCGTGTGTGCCTGTGTGTGCCTGTGTGTGCGTGGGCCCGGGGCAGGGGCACAGCTGCGGCGGTGCCCTGGGTGAGGCGGGGCAGGAAGCTGGCATTTCCAGGGTGTCCGGGAGGGAGGCGAGGGCCTGTGTGGTTTCCATGGATACCGCACTGCCCAGCCTTCCTCTGGCGGAGACCCACGGGCGTGCGCTGGGCTGAGAGGGACTCAGCTGAGGAAGCCTGGTCCCGCAGCCGTCCCCCTTCCCTCCCCACGGCCTCAGGCAGATGTCACTGCCCACACAGCACGCCTCACCTCTCACTCGGGAGATCCCTTAGCCCTGTCCGCGGGGCACGGGGAGGCTAATGGGGTGGTCCGAGCACTCGTACCCCAAAGCACACGCCGCTATGTTCCTGGGCCTCCCTACTCGCCTGTCTGCGCGTGAGACACCGAGTCCTGCTCTGTCTCCGCCTGCGTTTGGCGCCTCAGTGAAAAGTCCCATCTTCCCGGACACCAGTCACATCCCACCTGATTGTTTTTGAAAATATCCACGAAGTGGCCAGATGATGATCTCTGAACCCATAATCATCTGGCCACTCCGTGGATATCCTACAGAACAAAAGGCTAATATGCAAATTGTCCCCTCCACCAGGAGTTCGACCAGCAGGCAGGTCAGCCAACCGCCCATGTCCCCTCCCCCTGGCCAGGCTGGCTGGACCCTACCCATGCACAAATTCATGCACCGGGCCTCTAATACACACACACACACACACACACACACACACACACACACACACTGAGCGGCCAGATTATTATGCGTTCAGAGATCATAATAATCTGTCTACTCTCTGTGTGTGTGTGTGTGTGTAGGGTATTCCTCTCTGAAATCAATTAAAAAATATAAATATACATGTATATTTAAATATATACTTTTATTGATTTCAGAGAGAAGGCAGAGGGAGAGACATAGAGAATCATGAATCAGCTGCCTCCTGCACGCCCCTCACTGGGGATCGAACCCATCACCTGGGCACGTGCCCCGAACAGGAATCCTAGATCGACGCTCAGCCACTGAGCCCTGCCGGCCGGGCGCAGTCCCGCCTCTGGCACGCAGGGTCACGGCTGGTGAGAGCCACAGGTGCGCTGGCGGGCCCCGGGGCGGCGGGCAGGGCCGCCCCTTTCTGGAGAGAGAACGATGTGGAACTGGGGTTCATTCCTTCCCTTAGCTCCTCAGGGGACAGACGCTCCGAAGCCACGGCGCCCGGGCCCGCACCGCACACGCAGCCACAGGACCTGACCTCCAGACCGCAGCTGTGGGGCAGAGGCCCAGCCCAGGCCCACAGCCCAGGGCCCGGTCCTGCCCTCTGCGGGGCAGCTGGGCCACAGAGAGCACCGCCCAAAACAGGCCGCGGCCCAGGCCGGCTTCTCCCGGGAGAGGAGCGGGCGGAGAGGCCCGACATTTCACCAGCGCCGTCTCAGGGACGGTGACACCCCCTTCCCCCCCCCCCCGCCCCTGGGGGATGTCTCCACGCACCGCACCCCTGGGGGGCACCTGAGACCCGGGGTCCTCGTAGCAGAAACCGGAGCCGGGAGAACCCGGGGAGCCGAGGGGAACAGCCCCCCACCCGCCTCGGCGTCGGCCTCTCCAGAGCACCCGCCGCTCTGGCCCCAGACAGAGTGTGCAGGGCACGGGGCTGCTGAATCCCAGAGGGTCCTCTCTGACACACAAGCACGAGGAGCGCGCGGTTAGCCATCACGGCACCGCGTCCCCTCCCTGCCAGGCCGAGGACAGCGACGCGGAGACCTAAAAGCTGGGTCACCGGAGAGCAAACGCATGTCTTGCTCTGACTCGTTTCCAGAACTCACATTAAAAACTGCGGTATTTTCCTTCCCGGTATTAACGAAATACTTTCCAGATCCACCGCCCCGCCTTCCCGCCCCGCATTCCTCCGCCCGCTCCGGGCTCCTGTGTGACCCCGCTTCTCCCCGCCCGGCCCCCCCCACTCCCCCCCCCCCCCCCCCCCCCCCGTCTGGCTCCCCCGCAGTCCTCCCCTCCCGCCCGGCTCCCCCTCAGTCCTCCCCTCCCGCCCGGCTCAGGGACACCTCCCCCGCGGCAGGCATAGAGTTCCCACTTGTTTGTGCCTGTCCTCCTCTCTCCCCCTCTTGGAAAAGCCTTTATTAACTTTTGGGGGGATTGTTCTAAACAGCGTCTGAGACGGGGACCTGTCCTTCGAGGGCACGTCTGTCAAACGGGAGTTTCGGGAGAAGCTGCGTCTCCCGGCGCCGGGCCGGCCGGCGGGGTCAGCCCCGGAGGCGTCTGGAACAGGCACGGCGTTTGCAGAAATCCTGATCCCGGACTCTGCCCCCGGGCTCAGAAGCAGGGGGGCTGGGGAGGGGCGGGGGGTGGTGGGTAAGGGGAGGCAGAGAGCGTCTGAGGGCGATGACAGCTCTGTTCCCCACTGGGGGTGGGGGCTCGGCGGCCCCCGGGGCAGCCCGGCGGGGAGCGGACTCACCGTGATGGCCTGCAGCCGCGCCCGCAGCAGCCCAGCCTCGTCCATCCCGGCAGTCCCAGCCTGGCGGCAGGAAGTCCCCGGGACCATCTGTCAGGAGCCGCCCGGGGCCAGGGGCAGGGCGAGGGGGAGCCGGGCAGGTCTGCCCTCGGCCCCGCGGGGAGCAGCGTCTGGGAGCAGATGGCAGCCGGTCAGGGCCGGCCAGACGGACAGACACACGTGAGGGTGCGCCGGGCGGCGCCGCTGCCGCTCGCTGACTGACAAGTCTGAGCGCGGCTCCAGCCCTTCCTCCGGAGCTGCCAGCCCTTTGTTGTAACGCGCTCGGCGAGGGCTGCTGTTAACTGTTCCTTCCCCAGCCCGGCCCGCCCGCCCCGCTGGCAGGGGAGCCTCCCTCGCCCGTCCTCCCGGGCTGGCACAGGAGCCCAGTCCGTCCTCCCGGGCTGGCACAGGAGCCCAGTCCGTCCTCCCCAGGCTGGCACAGGAGCCCAGTCCATCCTCCTGGGCTGACACAGGAGCCCAGCCCGTCCTCCCCGGGCTGACACAGGAGCCCAGTCCGTCCTCCCGGGCAGGCACAGGAGCCCAGCCCGTCCTCCCGGGCTGGCACAGGAGCCCAGTCCGTCCTCCCGGGCAGGCACAGGAGCCCAGTCCGTCCTCCCCAGGCTGGCACAGGAGCCCAGTCCGTCCTCCCGGGCTGGCACAGGAGCCCAGTCCGTCCTCCTCGGCTGGCACAGGAGCCCAGCCCGTCCTCCCTGGGCTGGCACAGGAGCCCAGGCTGGTCCTCCTGAGCTGGTCCTCCCCAGGCTGTTCCTCCCCAGGCTGGCACAGGAGCCCAGTCCGTCCTCCTGGGCTGACACAGGAGCCCAGTCCGTCCTCCCGGGCAGGCACAGGAGCCCAGTCCGTCCTCCCCAGGCTGGCACAGGAGCCCAGTCCGTCCTCCCCGGGCTGGCACAGGAGCCCAGTCCGTCCTCCCCAGGCTGGCACAGGAGCCCAGTCCGTCCTCCCTAGGCTGGCACAGGAGCCCAGTCCGTCCTCCTGGGCTGACACAGGAGCCCAGTCCGTCCTCCCCGGGCTGGCACAGGAGCCCAGTCCGTCCTCCCCAGGCTGACACAGGAGCCCAGTCCGTCCTCCCCGGGCTGACACAGGAGCCCAGTCCGTCCTCCCCGGGCTGGCACAGGAGCCCAGGCTGGTCCTCCCAAGCTGGCACAGGTGTCCTCACTGAGAGTTTGATCAGCCTCAGCCAGCGACACCGAGGCCCCGGCTGGGTCTGCGTGTCTGTCCCAGGCACTTCCCCTGCCCTGTCTCCGGGCTCTGCAAAGACGGGGCCTCACCTGCCTGCTCCTGCCCTCCCCTGATTGGCTATAGGTAATCATTGATTGGCTATAGGTAATCATTAAGCATTCCGGGCTTCCTCTGGAACTTGTTAAGAGTGGTAAACAGACATCGGCTGGCCGCCTCTCTCCCTTACTTCCCGCTTCCGCGGTGGCTAGAGTCTTGGGGATCCTTCGGGTCACGGTGAAGCACGGGCGTGAGGGGGGCTGTTGAGATCCTGCCTCCCCCCGCCCCCCGTGAATTCCCGTCCTGGCTCTGGGGAGGGCAGGCCTGCCTGGACCTTGTTCAGAAATGACTCTTGGCGCTCCGGACGCTGCCCTTGCTGACCTGACCTCCCGGTTGTGCAAGGGGAGGCTGGGCCCTGGTGCGAGGGGCGTGCCCGCGCCCTCCGGGGAGAAGCCGAGCCCCGGACGCTCAGCTCCAGGCACATCCTCATGCCGCCATAGCGATACGGCGGGAAGGACACGGGAGGGGAGGGAGGGGAGAGCCACCAGCTGCCATTAGAACGGGGCCATCGGGTCGCCTCGGTGGGCAAGGCCTGGAGGGGGCGGAGGGAGCACGCTGGGAGAAGCCCCTGCAAAGGCCCCGAGGCGGCCGCACCGCATGCTTCAGGAACAGGGTGGGCGGACAGGGAGGGACGAGGGGACGGGGACGGGGCCGGACACAGAACAGGCTCCCCGGGCCCAGGCGGACCCGGCTGTTCCCCGCGCGGGCCGGAGGCCAGGGAGACGTGTGGAGGATGGAGGCCGGGCCGGGGGGTGGGGGGCGGGCGGTAGGATGCCGCTGCCTTTGAGAAATGACGGCAGTGGCGCCCGGAGGTGGCGTGAGGGCCGTGGGGAGGGGCTGGTCCGTGGGTGCGTTTGAAAGTGGACCGGACAGGACTTCCTGAGCCTGGACACGGGCTGGAGGAAAGAGAGGGTTGGAGGTCGCGCTGAGACTCTCGGTGGAGCAATGGCGGGGCCGTGGGCGGGGGTGGGAGACGCCTCATGCGGGCACACGGACGGGACGGCGGCACGGTTTTCTAACGGGGACGCGGCCCCCGTTCCTCCTCCGGCCCCCGCCGGAAGGCAGGCCTGGCTCTTCTGTGCGGGAGGGAGGGATCCGGCGGCCCCCCGAGGGTCCCCCTCCGCCCCGAAAAGACCCTTCCAGCGGACAGAGCGTGTGTGTGCTCGTCACGCTGCTTCTCTCTGAACACCGCAGTGTGTGTGCGTGCGTGTGTGTGTGAGTCTCTGTGTGTATGTGTGTATGTATGTGCATGTGTGTACGTGTGTGTATGTGTGTGAGTGAGTGTGAGCGTGTGTGTGCTCGTCACGCTGCTTCTCTCTGAACACCGCAGTGTGTGTGTGCGTGTGTGTGTGTGAGTCTCTGTGTATGTGTGTATGTATGTGCATGCGTGTATGTGTGTGAGTGTGTGTGAGTGTGTGTATGTGTGTGTGAGTGTGAGTGTGTGTGTGAGTGTGTGTGAGTGTGTGAGTGTCTGTGTGTATGTGTGTATGTATGTGCATGCATGTATGTGTGTATGTGTGTGTGAGTGTGAGTGTGAGTGTGAGTGTGTGTGTGTGAGTGTGAGTATGTGTGTATGTGTGAGTCTCTGTGTGTATGTGTGTATGTGTGTGCATGCGTGTACATGTGTGTATGTGTGTGAGTGAGTGTGAGCGTGTGTGTGTGAGTGTGTGTATGTGTGTGTATGTGTGTGTCTGTGTGTCTGTGAGTGTGTATGTGTGTATGTGTGTATGTGTGTGTGAGTGTGAGTGTGTGTATGTGTGAGTCTCTGTGTGTGTGTATGTATGTGCATGCATGTACATGTGTGTATGTGTGTGAGTGTATGTGTATGTGTGTCTCTGTGTGTCTGTGTGTGTATGTGTGTATGTGTGTGTGAGTGTGAGTGTGTGTGTGTGAGTGTGAGCGTGTGTGTGTCTGTGTGTGTACGTGTGTATATGTGTGAGTGTGAGTGTGTGTGAGTGTGTGTGTCTCTGTGTGTGTACGTGTGTGTATATGTGTGCGAATCTCTGTGCATGTGTGTATGTATGTGCATGCGTGTATGATGTGTGCATGAGTGTGTGTGTGAGTGTGAGCATGTGTGAGTGTGTGAGTGTGTGTGTCTGTGTGTATATGTGTGAGTGTGTGTGTGAGTGTCTCTGTGTGTGTGTGAATCTCTGTGCATGTGTGTATGTATGTGCATGTGTGTGTGGTGTGTGTGTGTGTGTGTGTGTGTGTGTTTCCAGGCTCCGTTTCCTAGAATTCCAACAGCTGCCGCCGTCAGCGCAGAGAACATTCCCCTGAGCCCCGGGGCCTCGGAGATGAAGGAGCAGCTGTTTCCTGAGCGTGGCCTCCGGGGTCCATCGCCCATAGAATCAGCCAGAGTTTAAAAACCCCCAAACCCGTTAACAAACCAAACGCGCTCACAGCCAGACGACCCCCCCGCCCTCCGGCTCTGACGCGCACAGAGGGACGGACTGGCACAGCCGGGCCCGTGGACAGGGGGCGGGAAGACGGCCCCACAGGACGCCTGGGCATCGCCGTGCCCTGGGGAGCAGCAGGGGCCAGCGGTCGGCGTGTGCGCTCCTCGGGGATCACACACGGCGGGTGCCTCCGCCCGGGCGCTCCCCTCCGTCCCCGCACCCTCCCCCGGGCCCGTGTGGGCGTCCAGGGGAAAGGGCCTTCAGGCTGGGCTTTTCACACACTTGTTCGGAGTCCGAGGCTGGGTGAGGACGCGGGTCCTGACTCACTTCCCCTCCTTAGCGCCGGGCGGGAGCTTCCTGGGCATTGTTCAGGGCTCGGTGTTTTCAGAAAGCCCGTTCAGGATCCCCCCCCTCCCCTCCCCGGCGCATTCGCTTCCAGCCGAGCCAAGGTGCTCACTCTAAATAATATATTCTATTGATTTTTTACAGAGAGGAAGGGAGAGGGATAGAGAGCTAGAAATGTCGATGAGAGAGAAACATCGACCAGCTGCCTCTTGCACGCCCCCTACTGGGGATGTGCCCGCAACCAAGGTACATGCCCTTGACTGGAATCGAACCTGGGACCCTTCCGTCCTCAGGCCGACGCTCTATCCACTGAGCCACACTGATTAGGGCTCAAGTTGGCGATTTCAGTTGAGAGAGGAACGGATCGCCGGTCGCCATCGAGGAGCCGGAGGTTTTGGCTGGAGATTCCCAGAGGAACGCTGAGCGGGCCCCTCTTGTGCGAGTCGTCGGCCTTCCCTTCCCCGTTCTCCTCACGGGGGACCCTCCATTTCCTGGGGTTGGGGGGCAGCAAGATAAACGCCCCTCGATTTGTCCTGGGCTCCGAAACGCAGAGAGAAGCTGAGGCTGGCCGAGCAGGCGCTGGGCTCCCAGACAAAGCCGTGGACCCCGCAATCCGACTTGTTCTGGAATTTCTACAGGCGAGTCCGGGGGCTCACACCCACACGTGCATTCCCCACGCGGCCACCGAGCAGCGTGGCCCCGGGAAGGAGGGGGCCCTGGAGAGGGAGCGGCCGCGGGCGACCCCTACACGGGAGCTCCGGTCCCTCGTTCGTCCGCTCGCCCGTCCACGTGGCGGGCGTGGGGTGGACACGCTGACCGTGCCCCCAGCAGCGTGCTCCGCGCTCCAGACGGACCACAGGACGAGGGACTGCGGTCGGGGGCGAGGCGGGCGGTAACGGGGACAGGCAGACGCCGCGTGGAGATGCCGAGTCGCGGGACCCGGCTCAGGGCAGAGGCAGGGGCAGGGGCAGGGGCAGGGCAGGGGCAGGGGCAGGGGCAGGGGCAGGGGCAGGGGCAGGAGCAGAGGCAGGGGCAGGGGCAGGGGCAGGCCCTCGGGGCCCTAAGCCAGCCGGCGAGAGGGCCGCTCCGCGGAACCAGGCGTCTGAGTCAGTTGGAGCCGACAACATGGTGTTAATCAGCCAAGAGAATGAATCAGGGTGTGGGCAGGAGGCAGCTGATCGATGTTTCTCTCTCATCGGTGTTTTTGGCTCTCTGTTTCTCTCCCTTCCTCTCTGTAAAAAGAACAATATGATATATTAAAAAAAAAAAAAAAACACAAAAACAGAAAAAGAAAAGTGTTGTTT